TTCTGATTTTTGGAATATATACCTAGGAGTGGGATTACTGGGTCAAATGGGAGTTCCACTTTTAATTTTTTTAGGAAACTCCATACTGTTTTCCACAGTGGCTGCACAAGTCTGCATTCCCACCAGCAGTTACAACGGTTCCCTTTGCTCCCCATCCTCACCAGCACTTGTCATTTGTTGATTATAGCCATTCTGACAGGTATGAAATGGTACCTCATTGTTGTTTTGATTTGCATCTCTCCAATAATTATTCGATAGTAACTTTAAACCAATTTTCAATGTCTTTTGGCCTTCTGTATGTCCACCTTCGAAAAGTATCTACATAGGTCTTTAACCCATTTTTTGATTGGATTTTCTTCCCTTGTTAAGTTTTATGAGTTCCCTATAAATTCTGGAGATTAAATCCTTATCAGGTGTCGCATTGGCAAATATGTCCTCCCATGCAATGAGCTTTCTTGTTTTGTTGATTTCTTTTGCTGTGCAGAAACTTTTTATTTTGATGTAGTCCCATTTGTTTATTTTCTCCTTAGTTTCCATTGTCCTAGGAGCTGAATCAGTAAAGATATTGTTGCGACATATGTCTGATATTTTGCTGCCTATGGATTCTTCTAAGATTTTTATGATTTCCATCTTATGTTTAAGTTTACCATTTTCAGTTTGTTTTTGTATATGGTGCAAGTTGGTGGTCTAGTTTCATTCTTTTTACATATATCTGTCCAATTTCCCCAACAACATTTATTGAAAAGACTGTCTTGACTCCATTGTATGGTCTTGCCTCTTTTGTCAAATATATGTTTTTTTTTTTTAATTAAAAAATATTTTTATGGATTTCAGAGAGAAAGGGAGAGGGAGAGAAACATCAATGATGACAGAGAATCATTGATTGGCTGTCTCCTGCACATCCCCTACTGGGGATTGAGCCCACAACCCGGGTATGTGCCCTGACTGGGAATCAAACTCAGGATCCTTCAGTCCACAGGCCGACACTCTATCCACTGAGCCAAACCAGCTAGGGCTTGTCAAATGTTAATTGAGCATAATGGTTTGGGTTGATTTCTGGGTTCTCTGTTCTGCTCCATTGGTCTACATGTCTGTTCTTATGCCAGTACCACGCAGTTTTGAGAACAGTGGCTTTGTAATATAACTTGACATTTGATATGTGAACCCTCCAACTTTGTTCCTTTTTTTCTCAGGATTGCTGTGGCTATTCAGGGTCTTTTTTTTTTTATTCCATATAAATATTTGGAGAGTTTGTCCTAGATTTGTGAAATATGTTATTGGTATTTTTAGGATATTAGGCTTTTATTATATAGGATGGCCATAATTTTTTACAACAGCCATAACACAAAAATAGGTTTCTTCCTCATAATTCATATGCTTATTAAGCAGCATCTGTTCATCTCTAAAAAATCTGAGAGAGAACAAGTTCTCTTGAGTCCTAGAATGGCTGAAGAAAGTATACCTCCATCATTAATATATAAAGAGAGGAGGCTAATATAAAGAGAGGAGGCCAAAATACAGAACCAGAGATGATGTTCAGATGAACATTTACTCATGAAAACAGGTGGAGGAAGATCAATAAATAAACTAGTTATCAATCAACAAGTTTGCTTGTCATTTTTGTCAGTCTTCAAACATTTCAACAAAAGTATGAAATAACATCTGCTGAAATGCCATTAGCATTTTAATAGAAATTGCATTGAAATATAGATTGCTTTAGTAGTACGGACATTTTAATGAGGTTGATTCTACCAATCCATGAACATGGTATATTTTTCCACTTGTTTATGTCTTCATCTCTTTTTTCAACGTCCTGTAGTTTTCTGGGTATAGGTCTTTTACCTTCTTAGTTAAGTTTATTCTTAGGTATCTTAATTTTTTTGGTGCAACAGTAAATGGGATTGTTTTTTTAGTTTCTCTTTCTTTGAGTTCATTATTGGTGTATAAAAATGTCATAGATTTCTGGGTGATAATTTTGTATCCTGCTACACTGCCAAATTCATTTATTTTTTTTGATGAAGTCTTTAGGACTTCATGTACAATATGATGTCATCTGTGAATAATGAGAGTTTTACTTCTTCTTTTCCAATTTGGATGCCTTTTATTTTTTCTTCTTGTCTGATTGTTATGGCTAGCACTTACAGTACTATGCTGAACAGGACTGTTGAAAGTGGGAATCCCTGTCTTGTTCCTGTTCTTAGGTGAAATGGTTTTAGTTTTTGTCCATTGAGTGTGATATTAGCTGTAGGTTTGTCATATAAGGCTTTTATTATGTTGAGATATGATCCCTCCCTTTCCACTTTGTTGAGATTTTTTTTTTTTTTTTTATTAAGAAAGGGTGTTGGATTTTGTCAAATGCTTTTTCTGCATCCACTGATATGATTATGTGTTTTTTGTCTCTCAATTTGTTTATATGACGTATCACATGTATTGATTTGTGGATATTTTACCAGCCTTGCATCCCCAGTAAAAATCCCACTTGGTCATGATGTATGTGTAATACTGGTTTTATTTTTAATATAGACTCCTTTAGTTTTTTCTTGTCTGAGAAGCTCTTTATGCATCAATTCTAAATTATAACATTACTGAGTAGAGTAATTGTGGTTGTAGGTCCTTGTTTTTTCATCACTTTGCATATTTTGTGCTAACCCCTTCTCACTTTCAAAGATTCTGTTAAGAAATCATTTGATAGTCTTATGGGAGCTCCTTTCTAGATAAATGCTTATCTCCTGCTACTTTTAAGATTCTCTCTTCAGCTTTAACCTTTGGCATTTTAAATTATAATATGCCTTAGTGTAGGTATCTTTTGAGTTTTGTTTTTTTTTTTTTTTTTTTAACTCTCTGCACTTCCTGGACTTGTATGTCTATTTCCTTCATCAGATTAGGGAAGTTTTTTTCATGTTAGTTTTCAATTTCTCTCTTTCTTCTCCTTTAGGGCATACACTTATGATGTGAATGTTAGGACACTTGATTTTGTCCCAGAAGCCCCTTAAACTATCCTCATATTTTTGGATTTTTTTCTTTTTGTTGTTCTGTTGCATGTCCTCTATTACCTTATCTTTCAAATCACTGACACAATTCTCTGCTTCAACTTACCTGTTGATTCTCTCTAATGTATTCTTCATTTCAGTCTTGTTTTCTATCTCCATTTATTTTTTAAAATCCTCACTGGAGGATATGTTTATTAATTTGAGAAATATTGATGTGAGATAAACATTGATCAGTTGCCTCCCCTACATACCCCAACTAGGGATTGAACCCCAACCTAGGTAAGTACTCTGACCAAGAATCAAACTGGCAACCTTTTGGTATACAGGACAACACTCCAACCAACTGAGCCACCAATCGAGGGCTCTATCTCCATTTTTATATTTCCTGCCTCTATGTCGAAGTTCTCTCTGCAATCTTTGAGCACTTTCATAATAATGTTTCAAATTCTGCATCTAGTTGATTGCTTCTCTCCATTTTGTTTAGTTCTTTTCCTGGAGCTTTATTCTGTTCTTTCATTTGGGTCATTTGTCTCCTCATTCCTGCGGCCTCTTTGTGTTTGTTTCTAGGTATCAGGTAGAGCTGCTACATATCCTCGTCTGGTAGAGGGGCCTTATGTAATAAGTATCCTATGGGGCCCAATGGTGCACTCTTCCTAGTCAAGTGAGCTGAGTGCTCTAGGTGTGTGTGCCCTTCAGTTATAGTTGAGTCTTGATTGCTAGTGGTATCTCAATGGACAAGATTAACCCTCGAGCTAATAAAGACTGTGAGGACTGGCCATGACTACAGTGGAGGAGCTGTTTTGCAAGGGCTGATCCTATGGTATAGAATCCACTTTAGGAGGGCTCTGGTACCTGGTGAGTCTGCCTTTTGAGTTATTTGTTGAAGTGGTTGGGTGGTGCTCTGATGTAGACTGACATGGCCACCAGGGCTTCTTTGCAGGTGCAGGCCAAGGTTTGCTGCTGTCTATTCCCTGCTAAGGGCCACCTGGTATCAGCTACAAAGTGATCTGCAAATGGCTACCACTTGTGCTGGATTTGGAAATGCTTGGGAGAGGCTAAGCTGCTAACTGAGGCCAGTTGCCACTAGTGCTGGGCTTGTGGCTACTTAGCAAGAAAAAGTATGGGGCATGCTGAGGGCAAGATGCTGCTTGTTTGGGGTTTGCGAACCTTAGATTTTAGGAAAGTCCACAGCATGAGCCATCTATATTGAAAAGCCACTGGAAACAGCTTGGGTGGGGAGGGGTCTCAGGGAATCACCAGGGCAGGGGAAACAGTGATAGCCAGGTTGACAGAGGTTCAAGATATGGTGAGTGCTTGCACCTGCAAGGGGAGAGCTCAGCAAACAATGGCTTCTGCCAGCCCTTCTGTCTGGGAGAAAGCTGCCCTTCCAGTCCTCACTCTAACCTAAAGCCAGATATTTCAGTTCCTCCCTGTACATCCCTGGCATTTTTTTAGCTGCTGCCCCAGTGCTGAAGCTCAGAGGACATAAGAACCTGTGCAAGGACACTGTAAGTGGAAGGATGGGACTCCAACAGCTCTCTCTCTTTCTCATCCATAATCTGTGCTGGTTTTCACTGTCAGAAGCTAGGGGGACTTCTCTTCCCAACAGTGAAACCCTGCGTTGGGGGGCCTGGCATGAGGCTGGGACCCCTTGCTCCTCAGGGACATCTCTGCAACTGAGATATCCCTGTACATTCTCAACCACCAAACATGGACCAGCTCCTTTCACATCTCTGCCCCTCCCACCAATCTCAACATGGCTTCTTCTATATATTCTTAGTTATAGGACTTCGGTTCAGTTAGACTTCAGGTAGTTTTCCATGATGGCTGTTCTGGAGTTTAGTTGTAATTTTGATGTGGTCATGGGAGGAGACGAATACAGCATTTCCCTATTCTGCTATGACCAGAAGCCTCTCTTGTATATAATTTTTAATTAAAAATAGTCTATTTCCCTAAAAAATTAAATGTGATTGGCATGCTTTGTTTAAATCAAATATAATAATATCTTACCTGTAGTCCTTGACCATGGACCATTTGAAGTTGTTCTTGAATTTTTCTTAGTTCTTCTTGTTGCCGATGAATATTTGCCTCTATCATTCGTGTCCGTTGTTCCAATTGGTCTTTCAGATGCTGCATGGCTCCTAATTGTGCTGAAAACTGAAACTAAGTATTATAAATGAAGAAAGTATAAGATATTTTAGAATTACTTATTTCTCATAATTGTGCAATGAGAAAAGCAAGCAGTATATATGAGCTAAGAATGTCTTGCCAATTATCAATGGATGCCTGTCAGCTAATTTACCCATCTTTGCTTGCCTTTGTCATACTGGAGCTGGACTCTACAAATAATTCTCCTTTGCCAGCAGGCACAAACTGAGTGACACCAGTTTATGGTGCTGGAGGATACTACAAAGGAAGGTGTTTATCTTTCTAGTTTTGGTGCTCCTCCTTCTTCCCCTTCTGCCAGTGGACAGCTTCCTACTAGGTCTCATCCACACTAGCAGGTGGTTCTCCAGGAAGTCTCACTAGGACTCAGCAAATGTTACTGGTACCCCAGCAGGTGGCTTCCTTTTCTCCAGCCCTAGCCTGTGGCACCTCAGGGACCTTCTCTACCATCCAGTGGCAACAGCAATACCTCCCCCAGTGGGATATGAATCTTAGCCTGGCCTAGAAGAGAAGGTTAAGGGGCGTTGAGGAAGTCTTCCAAGTTGTTCCTTCCTTGGGTACTCTCCTTTACACTATGGTTAGAGTTGCTCTCAATGTTATCTCTGAGATCAAGAATTTAGTAGTCCCTGTTACTACTTAACAATCTCTCTCTTTCTCTCTATATATTTATATATAACAAAGCCTAAGCAACCAAACAACAGGTCGCTATGATGTGCATTGACTACCAGGGGGCAAACGCTCAACACAGGAGCTGCCCCTTGGTGGTCAGTGTGCTCCCACCGTGGGAACACTGCTCAGCTGACAGATGGGTGCTAGACACAAGGCTCATGGCTGGCCGCCACAGCGCGGAGACCATAGCAGGGTGGCAGCGAGCCTACCGCTGGCACAGCGGGGATGGGTTAAGCAGGAGTGGCAGAAGGTGCTGGACTGCCCATTTTTGCCCAATCCCTGCAGCCTGCCGAGGGACCCCACCAGTGCACGGGGCCTCTATGTTTTATATAATACCTATTCATATTTTTGCTCCTGAATGCATGTTGACTGATTAAAAAGTACACAGTAATATTAAAAAAAACCGGAGATCATATTGTAGATCCATCACTTGTTAGAATAAATTCCTTAACTTGATTTCTATCCTTTGACAATGGAAAAAGTAGGCTGCACCTACTCATATCAAGTTACTCATATCAAATTCTAATATCCCCAGAATGTCCTCTATGTGCACACCATTATAAACTTACAAAAATCTGACAGATAACCAAATATTTTTCTCCTATTTTCAACTGAAACTGTTCTCGATTTAAGTACAAAACATAAGCTTTTAAAGACTAAATAATTACAAATTAATGCATACATACATGAATAAAAAAAAGTTATTCTATTAACAGGGCTTTCAGCCTTATTTATTTTTCTGTTTTACCTGAGTTATAAGCAGTTTTTATTTACCACTGCTTGAAAGTTAGCCATATTTGGCGATTCACCAGTTGTCTATGCTTAATTATTTTAATTACACTCATTTAATTTTTTCCATGAAGATTTAGCACAGGATACAGAATAAGAGCAAGAAGAATTTTATTTTATTGGAAATCTGTCTGAGTCTTAAAATAGTCTTCCAGAGTGAACTGCATCTAAAAGTGAGAAATGCCCCCAAAAGCTTGTAGTCAACTTCCAAAGTTTGCATTGAGGACAGAGAATATTACTTTTCAAAGTATACAGCCCTTGACTTCTGAAGTCAATAATAATCAGACCATATCATAGATTACATATGGTGTTAGAAAATACAAATGTAGTACCTCAACTCCCTCATTCCTTTATTTTTTAAAATATTATTCAAAATGTTATATACAAATATATCTTATCCTAAGTAAATTTATCTATATCTTTGGATAATTACATTGCACCACTTAGAGAACTTCTATTAAGTAAAAATAAGAAAAAAGAAACAAATAAAATCATAGGACTAAGAAGCCAAGTATCTTTATGAACAAAAAATATGAGATTTGAATACTTCACATATTTGAAATAGAAAATATTCTTTACTTCATGAAAATATCCCCTTAAAATGTTAAATGCTTATTTAGGTATATTAAGATTAATAGACTAATTATATTGGAAGTATGTATAAATTTTTACATAAAAATTGTTAACCTTCAGAATAAAAAGCATTTGAGGACTCAATGTTAAAAACTGTGACAACTGCATATAATATTTAATAACACAGAATTATTATATAAACACTTTACACAATCATACGTTGCTAAAAGTCAAAATTATAAAGTTTAGGAAATTTAATGCATTGTCAATGTATGTGTATAAGTATTAATCCTATATAATAAAAGCCTAATATGCTAAGTGTCTGGTCATCTGTTCAATCAAAGCATAATATGTAATGATATGCTAAGGCTGCTCAACAGCTCATTATGATGTGCACTGACCACCAGAGGGAAAGACACTCCCACCAGTAGGTTGAGGTCTGGCTCATAAGGACTGAGCAAGATGGGCCAGACATGCCCTGGAGCCCTCCCACAGTCCTTCTCTGGCTGGCCAACCTTCCTGACCCTGACAGTGCACTGGTGGGGTCCCTTGGCCTGACCTATATCCTCTCTCAATCTGGGACCCTACAGGGGATGTCAGAGAGTTTCAGCCCTATCCTACAGGCCAGGCTGAGGAACCCTACTGATGCATGAATTCGTGAATGGGGTCTCTAGTAAATGAATAAATACCATATAAGACAAAAGTATTTTTTTAAAAATACTGTTTTTATGCCCTAATCGGTTTGGCTCAGTGGATAGAGCATCAGCCTGCGGTCCCAGATTCGATTCCGGTCAAAGGCATTTACTTTGATTGCAGGCACATTTCCAGTAGGGGGTGTGCAGGAGGCAGCTGATCAATGTTTCTCTCTCATAGATGTTTCTAACTCTCTATCCCTCTCTCTACCTCTCTGTAAGAAATCAATAATATATATATATATATATATATATATTAAAAATACTGTTTTTAATCTATCACTTAGGAGCCCAGTGTGCATTTTGAAATTGCAAGGTGCCACCTACCCTCAAGTTGCCAGTCTGGCTCTGCCTCCTTTCCTGGGCCAAGCAGCAGCCACAGCCGTTGTCAGTCTGGCCCTGCCCTGCTTCCCGGGCCCTGCCTCCCTCTCCAGCCCTCAACTGCAGCTGATCAGGCCTCCCCCAACGCAGGCACGTGGAGGTCCCTGCTGCCCTGTTCCCCAAGTTGCACATGCAACCTCCTATTGTTCGGTCAACTCAATACAGCGTCCTGGTTAATTGGCTTATTTCTCTATTTTATATATGTAGATTATTTGAAGTCAAGACATTGTTAAGTCAAGGCATATTTAATGCCAAACAAACCAGTTAAAAAATTTTTGGAATATTTTTACTATTAGTAATTTTTTTAATGTGTCTGAGGCACTGAATGAGTACGAAATCATAAATTACACTCTGGGAATTTATAATAAAAAGTAATTTCTTGTCACTTTTGTAATACTTCTCCTTTGTCTTGCTAACTTTTACTAGTATATTTAGGCCTCCTTCAGGACTTAGCTTAAGCAAAAATTCTTCCAGAATGTTTTCCCTCACTTCCTCAGGCTGCATTGTATCCATCTAATGTGCACACCTATCAGGCTATATATCCTGAATATAGACTATGTATTGAACTGTAATTCTCACATTGTAAAAAAATATTTTAGTATAGATATTACATATTTTTTTCTGCCACCACCTGGAATATCTGATACATACAAGAAATTCAATAAATGTTCTATTTGTGAACAAATGAATGCATGAAAATTACTTGATTCTTTCAATACCCATAGAAAGAACAAAATGAACAGCATATTTAATCTGTAACACATTTCCGTCTGCAGTGTTTCTCAATGGAGGTGTTATAGCATATTAAGCAGGTAATTCTTTGTTGTATAAAACTGTCATGAATCTTGAAAGATAATTAGCATCCCTGGTCCTTGCTTACTCAACTAAGGGCCAGTGGTACCCCAAAACAATGACAATCAATAATCTCCCCAGATATTCTACATGCCCACAGTTGAGATTACTGCATCTGTAAGAATATTTTAAAAATCTATACTAACTTAAAAACAATTTATTATTTCAAAACACTCAACTGAAACAAACAAACAAAAATACCTGGGACATGCCTTGTGGAACTGGTAAATTTGTGGCTTGAGACATCACTGGCTGAGTTAATGATTGACCAATAGACTGGGAATTTATCGACTAGAAGCAAAATAGAAAACAACACTGGAGTGATGATCATTCCCATATATGAATATTTGCACCAGAAACATCACCATGGTATCTTTATAACTGAATTACAATTTGCCTCACACTTTTTTAGTTGAGTACAGGCATGTCTTCCCCTCTACATTGAAAATGCTTATTACCTATTCATGTTTTTATCTTCCAAGGCATCTGCCACATTACTCTATATAGGCTCTCAATAAAAGCTGACTATATTTAATTGAAAGTCATAGTATTTATTTAACCTCAGATAAACTATTTTAATCTTTATAGAATGAGAAAATGAACCAATGAGTTTCTAATAAACTTAATAAACCTATATTCAGAAGAATACTAACAAAAGAGTTACCTGACTACTAAATGATGACCTCCTTTGTGCCATCTTTTCATGAGCTGGTAAATGCTGTCTGGGAGGAGTGCTAGTATCCGTTGGGATCTTTGTTGGTGTTGCTGAGATTAGTCAACAAAAACAGAAGAGTGTTAGTACTTTATAAAATACAATTCAAAAATAAATCTTAAAATATACTTCAGTCAATAAAAATATGGTTTTTGAGTTCCTTTTCTAAATTATTCAATAAAAGTGAAATCTCTAACAATAAGATGATTCTTTTTAATTACTCCTTTTTTAAGGACAAAGAAAGGTTTGAAATAGAAAAACTTCAAATATAATAATGATATGACTCCTACAACTCAATAGTAAATAAATGAATTCAACTGAAAAATGGCCTAAGAAATTGAATAGACATTTCTCTAAATAAGACATACAAAAGACCAACCAGTATATGAAAAAATGCTCAACATCACAATCATGAGAGAAATACAAATCAAAACCATGTAAGTTATTACCTCATACCAGTAAGGATGGCTATTAACTAAAAAAACAAAACACAAAAAGACAAGTGTTTGCAAGAATGTGAAGTAACTAGATTTCTTGCACACTGTTAGTAGGAATACAAAACAGTACAACATCCAGAAAATAGGTTGGCGGTTTCGCAAAAAAATTAAAAACAGAACTACCATATATGATCCACCAATTCCATTTGTGAGTATTTATCTAAAATAAGTGAAATTAGGATCTTGAAAAATATTAGCACTCCTATGTTCACTGCAACATTATTCATAATAGTCAAGAAGTTGAAACAAGCTAAATGTACATTTACAGATGAATGGATAAGCAAAATGTGATATATACAAGCAGTGGACAAAAGCAGGTTTACAGTTGTTCATATGGGAAATAATACAATAATTAATAAATAATAATCCTATATAATCCTATATAATAAAGAGGTAATATGCAAACTGACTATCACTCCAACACACTAGATAGCTACCCCCATGTGGTCAATGATGGTTGCCCCCAAGATGGCCGCCACAAAATGGTCAGCAGGGGAGGGCAGTTGTGGGTGATCAGGCCAACAGAGGAGAGTAGTTGGGAGAGACCACGCCTGCAAGGGAGGGCAGTTGGCGGTAATCAGGCCTGCAGGGGAGGGCAGTTAGAGGACCAGGCTGGCAAGGGAGGGCAGTTAGGAGTGACCAGGCCAGCAGGGGAGGGCAGTTAGAGGCAATCTGGCTGGCAGGGGAGCAGTTAGGCAAAGATCAGGCTGTCATGGGAGTGGTTAGGGGCAATCAGGCAGGCAGGTAGGTGAGCAGTTGGGAGCCAGCAGTCCTGTATTGTGAGAGGGATGTCTGACTGCCCATTTAGGCCCGAACCTAGTGGCCCGGTGAGAGGCATATCAGACTGCCCATTTAGGACACTCTGCAAGGGGTCCCAGATTGGAGAGGGTTCAGGCTGGGCTGAGGGACACCCTCCCCCACCCCAATGCATGAATTTCGTGCACCGGGCCTCTAATACAAAAATAAACCTATTTCATGTACTCACAACTATAAACCTACTTTTGCCCACCACTGTATTATAAACAATGGACTACTATTCAATCTTAAAAAGAAGGAAATTATATAATATGCAACTGGATAATCCTTGAGGACATTAGTCTAAGCAAAATAAGCAATGACAGAAAGATGAGGAGTGCATGATTCTATTATCTGAGATATTTAAAATAGTCAAATTTGTTGAATCAAAGAGAATGGTAAATGTCAAGAGCTGGGCGGAGGGAAAGTGGGGAGTTACTAATCACTGAGCATAAAATTACAGTTAAGCATGATGAATAAGCTCTAGAGATCTGCAGTACAGCACTGCACCTATAGTCAACAATAACATTGTACACTAAAAAATTTAACAGGGTAGATCTCATTTTAAGTGTTCTTACCACAATAAAATAATATTTTTTAAAAGAGAAACAGCTATAGTAGGGAAAATTTTTCCCCTAAGATTTCACAAATCCTACATTTAACCTCTAATGTTCTACCGACAATGTTGAGTAGTTCACCACTACCTCTTTTCTTCTTACTGGTATATGTATATATAGTTTTAATACCATGAGATATTAAAAATTACTCTTAAAAAAAAGGTTACCACCGAAACCAATTTGGCTCAGTGGATAGAGCATCAGCCTGCGGACTGAAAGATCCAGGGTTCGATTCCAGTCAAGGGCACGTACCTTGGTTGAGGGCACATCCCCAGTAGGGGGTGTGCAAGAGGCAGCTGATCGATGTTTCTCTCTCATTGATGGTTCTAACTCTCTATCCCTCTCTTTTTCTCTCTGTAAGAAATAAATAAAATATATTTAAAAAATAAAGACTCTTAAAAAAAACTTTCAAAAAGTAAATTTGAAGAATACTTACTGGCTTTACCAGTAAAAGGGGAAAAAAGGGGAATAGTTTTGCTTTCTTTTTGAAGGAATTAAAAACAACAATATCAACATTACTATATATTATTTTTTTATAGGTTACTTCATAAACTTAATTCTTTGTTAAATGTGAGCAATGTGCCTCTTACTCACTGGAAAGTTTAATATATTTGAAACGTAAAAACTATTTTAAAGTACCATTTGATTAACAATACTGATACTATTATAGTAACACAACTTAGAAACACTCTCTTCAAAGGAAGTCTGCTTTCAAGCTAGAGTACTCACAGGATGGGTCTGAGACTGCAGTGTGAGATGATTTTCTTGAACTACGTGAGGAAGCAGAAGGGGTTGGACTGTGATCAAACCTTTCCAATGCTTCCTTGAGACTGACTGTGTTTATACGGTTATCAGACCCAGAATCTTGGCTCTAAGGAGAAAGAGTAAAAGAAATGTTTTCTTGTGGTTCATGTCAGAAACCCCAAATTATCAATACTGCTTACCAAGCCTTCTCCCACAAAATCAGTTTTCACTCATAACAAACCAATATTTGGGTATTCAGGAAAGAAATGAAAATTTATTTTTTATAGCAGTTGGTTTTGGCTTTATTCTCGATTCAAAGAAACAACAGTTGCAAAAGAATGAAGGTGGACTTTTGCCTTCTATATGCAAAAACAAACTCAAAATGGATCAAAGACCTACCTAATCATAAAAGCAAAAACTGTTCAGAAGGAGCAAAATTCTATGATCTTGGATTGATCAACAACTTTTTATATCTGACATTAAATGCACAAGCAACAAAAGTGCACCTGAGGAAAGTATACCAGAGTGGAAAGGCAACCCATGGAATGAGACAAAACATTTGCAAATCATATACCTGATAAGAAATTAATACCAAGAACATAAAAAAAAAAACCTCTATAATTCAACAGCAAAACAAACAAACAAAAAACAACACACCAAATAATCCAGTTAAAAAACTAGTAAGAATCTTGTAGACATTTCTCCAAAGAAGATATAGAGATGATCAATAAAGAAAAGATGCTCAATATCAATAGTTATTAGGGAAATACAAATCAAAATCACAATAATATATTATTTCACATCCATCAGAATGGCTATTATAAGGGGGGGGGGGGAGGGGGAACAGACAAAAAATAACCAGTGTTAGTGAGAATATGAAGAAATTGGAATTCTTGTGCACTACTGATGGGAATGTAAACGAATGCAGCTACTATGGAAAACAATAAGATGGTTGCTTAAAAATTAAACAAAGAGCCCAGCTGGAGTGGCTCAATTTGTTGGAGCATCATCCGTGCATTGAAAGGTTGCCAATACGATTCCCAGTCAGAGCACATACCAGGGTTTTGGGTTCAATCCCCATCAATGTGCATACAAAAGGCAACTGATCAATGTTTCTCTCTCACACTGATGTCTCTGTCTCTCTCTCTCTCTCCCCTCCCTCCTTCTTCTATCTAAGCATATCCTTGGGTGAGGGTGGGTAAATAAATAAATAAATAAATAATTTGCCCAGCCAGTTTAGCTCAATGGCTTAGCACTGACCATGAACCAGGTCACAGTTGGATTCCCAGTCAGGGCACTTGAGGGGTTGTGGGCTCAATCCCCAGTAGTGGGGTACAGGATGCAGCCAATATATGATTTTCTCCCATCTAGTTCATAGGTTGATGCTCAATCACTAAGCCACACCAGCTGGGAGCTAGCCATGTGTCTTTAGGGGAGGTTCCCCCCCACTCTTAAAGCCCCAGTTTCAATATTTTGAAAGTGGGGATACTGCCTACCACATAAAGATGTTTGAGGAGTAAAAAATATTTTGAAATTCATAAAAAGAACCAACCCAGAGCCTAACGTATTACAGACAATAAATGGTAGTTTAAATGTGAGATCTTACTTGTCACTCATCCAATTATCACTAATAGCAGGCCCTTCAAATCTTTTTTAGAAGCAGATGATATTTTAAAATATTAAAGTAAAAATGTATAACCCTGTCACAAGTGAGAAAATAAAATATATGAAAAATAATTTTCTATAAATTAATGAATCTTATCTTTCATTGCAAAGAAATAATTAAAAAAAAAATCTTCAAGATACATACTTTGTCAGCAGCTATCTCAGGAAGAGACTCTTCAATGCCAAGTTCTCGTCGTCTTTCAGCCCTAACTTCTGCATAACTACAAATGAAAACATATATAATTTTAGTGTTTGGTTGTTAGTTTAAAATAATGTACAGGTGTACTCATTCAGTGTTTGCTATGTGTCTTACTTGCTCATTAGTAATTCCAGACTATTTTCCATGCACTACACAAACCTATAACATACACACACACACAATAAAAAGACAATGTACAATATCTTAATTAAAATTGCATTTTTCAAGGTAACTCAATTGAATTTTTCTAAATATCTAATGTAAATGATCTATAAATTAAGTTGTTAAATTCAAAGATATTAAATTTTAAAAAAAGAGCATGCTTGTCTACTCAGTTTTCTTTTTCTTATTTAATATATATATTTTTTTTATTTCAGAGAGGAAGGGAGAAGGGAGAGAGAGATAGAAATATCAATGATGAGAGATAATCACTGACTGGTTGCCTCCTGCATGCCCCCTACTGGGAATCAAGCCTGCATGCAGCCTTGGCATGTACCCTTGACCAGACTTGAACCTGGGACCCTTTAGTCCACAGGCTGACTGACACTATATCTAGCTCAGTTTTCCTTTTATACAACTGACTTTGGTATAAAAAAAGAAAAAATAGTTACAACTTCTGCTCTAAACCATAAAATTTATGTCAAGAATTATACACACACACACACACACACACACACACACACACGTATGTGCATATGTCTATATATGCCTGCATTCTCTTTTGATATAATGTCTGTAAATAAATTTAATAATATATTGAAACTGTGTATCAAAAATAAGGAAAATCACTTAGTAATTCATTAACAAGTCATGTATATAAATTGCATTGTGTGTATCATCATGGATGTTACTATAGTTGAGAAATTTTATAAAATCATTTACCTTACTACAGTGTGAGTACAAACAATAAACTCTGGCCTTGAATTCCACTGGTGATAAGTAATATAGTAATGAGTTTGAAGCCAAATCCACTGTTGTCCTTTGGTCAGGAACCTATAATAACATGATTTGCCTTTCCCATACTGCATCACTAAGAAGAGAAAAATATTTTTGATTCAGATTATAAGTTATGAATCTGTTTTTTAGCAAAAGCTATCATTTATATTTATATCTATACAGAATATACAATTCTTCTGGCTTTTTTATAACATATATTTCAATGATAAGAAAATGCTTATGTCTTTTTTGGTGTTGAATTTTATAAGTTCTTTATAAATTTTGGATATTTACCCCTTATTACATGAGTCACTGGCAAATATGTTCTCAGTGAGTTGTCTTTTCATTTAGTTGATGGTTTCCTTTGTGCAAAAACATTTTTGTTTGATGTATTCCCACTTGTTTATTTTTTCTTGTTTCCTTTGGCCAAGGAGATAGATCAAAAAAATACTGCTATGAAAAATGTCCAGATTTTTACTGCTTATGTTTTTTTCTAGGATTTTTATGGTTTTGAGTCTAACATTTACAAGTCTTTAACCCAGTTTGAGTTTATTCTTGTGCACAGTGTAAGAAAATGGTCTAGTTTCATCTTTTTCCATGTATCTGTCCATTTTCCCAACAACAACTATGGAATAGACTATCTTTAGTTCCCTGTATATTTTTGCTTCCTTTGTCAAATATTGAGTATAAAAGTGTGGGTTTATTTCTGGTTCCTCTATTCTGGTCCATTAATCTATATGTCTGTTTTATGTTAGTATCATGCTGTTTTGATTGATATGTTCTTGTAGTACAGTTTGGTACCAGGCACCATGATTTCTCCAACTTTATTCTTCCTTCTCAAGATTGGTATGGCTATCCTGGGTCTTTTGTTGCACCACATACATTTTTGGAATATTTTCTAGTTCTGTGAAATATACCATTAGTATATTGATAGGAATTGCATTGAATCTATAGATTGCTTTCAGTTATATGGACATTTTAATAATTCTATCTTTGAAAAGGATGACATATGCTTCCACTTATTTGTCTTCTTCACTTTCTTTCTTCACTGTCATAACTTTCCAAGTACGGGTCACTTACCTGCGTCAAATTTACTCCTAAGCATTTTTTTTTTTAAAAGCAACTGTGAATGGGATTTTTTTTTTTTTAATTTCTTTTTCTGATAGTTCATTTATTGGTGTATAGCATTGCAACTGATTTCTGGATATGTATTTTATAGCATGCTTCTTTATTAAATTCACTTACTACCCTGTTTCCCCAAAAATAAGACAGTGTCTTATATTACTTTTTGCTCCCAAAGATGCACTAGGTCTTATTTTCAGGGGATGTCTTATTTTTCCATGAAGAAGAATACAGTACACATTTATTTTTAAATGAAAATAAAGGAAATTTATTACCTGTATATGGTATGGTAGTACGGTAGTTGTCAACACAAACCAGACAAACTGAATCCTACAGTATCAAGAATTGATTCATTTATTCAATGACATTCATGTCATCATCTTCTGGAATATCATCATAACAATCTAATTCCTGAATTTTCTGGTGAATTTCTTGTGACTCCATTTCTTTCAGAATCAGTGGACCAAATCTCTCATGTTTAGCCTACGGGGGCCTTATTTTCGAGGGGATGCCTTATATTTCACTCAGAAGGAAACCTGTACGTAGGTCTATTTTCAGAGGATATCTTATTTTCGGGGAAACACAGTAGCTCTAGTTAATTTTTGTGTGTGTAATCTACTTTAGGGTTCTGTATAACAGTATCATATCATCTGGTGACAGTTTTATTTATTCCTTTCCAATTTGGATGCCTTTTTTCTCCTTCTTGTCTGATTCCTTTGGCTAAGACTTCCAGTACTATTTATACTAATAAAAGCCTAAGTGTTGTCTTGCCCTCACATCATCACAAAATGGCTGTCACAAGATGGCCAGCAAGGGAGGGCAGTTGGGGGTGATGGCCAGCAGGGGAAGGCAGTTGTGGGCAATCGGGCTGGCAGGTTAGGGCAGTTGAGGGTGATCAGGCTGGCAGGGGAGCAATTATTAATCAGGTCAGCAGGGGAGTGGCTCAGGGTGATCAGGCTGGCAGGTAGAAGTGGTTAGGGGCAATCAGGCAGGCGAGCAGTTATGACCTAGCAGTCCCAGATTGTGAGATGGATGTCCAACTTCAGTTTAGGTCTGATGGCAGTTGGACATCCTCTGAGGGATCCAAGATTAGAGAGGGTTCAGACTGGGCCGAGGGACACCCCCCAGTGCATGAATTTCGTGCACCCGGCCTCTAGTGTTAAATAAGAGTAATGAAAGTGGATATCCTTTATTCCTGATCTTAAAGGAAATACTTGTAGTTTTTCCCACTGGGCATGATGTTGGATGTGGGTTTGTCATATGTGGCCTTTATTACGTTGAGATGTTCCCTCTACTCGCCCTTTGCTAAGTTTTTAAATAAAATATGGACTCTAGCCATTTTTGCTCAGTAGATAAGAGCGTCAGCCTGTGAACTGAATGGTCCCAGGTTCGATTCCAGTCAAGGGCACATGCCTAGTAAGGGGCATACAGTAGGCAGCCAATCAATGATTCTCTTTCATCATTGATGTTTTTCTCTCTTTCTACCTCTCCTTTCCTCTCTGAAACCAATAAAGATATTTTCAAAAATAAAAAATGGGTGCTGGATTTCATAAAATGACTTTTTTTCCATCTATTGATATGATCATGTGGTTTATATCCTTCATTTTTTATGTGGTGTATCACATTTATTGATTTGCAGATATTTGCACCAACCTGCATCCCCCAAATAAATCCCACTTAATGGTGCATGATCTTTTCAATGTATTGCTGAATCCAGTTTGCTAATTATTTTGTTGAGAATTTTAGCATCTATGTTCATCAGGGAATTGACATATAATTTTTCTTCTTTGTAGTGTCTTTATCTGGTTTTGAAATTAGGATAATGTTGGCCTCTTAAAATGAGCTTGGGAGTCTTTCCTCAAATAGAATTCTCTGGAATGGTTTGAGAAGGATAGAAATTAGTTCTTTGAATGTTTGGTAAAAATAACCTATAAAACCATCCAGTCCAGGATTCTTGATAACTAGAGGCCCAGTGCACGAAATTCATGCACAGGATGGGGGAGAGGGATTCCCTCAGCTCAGCCTACACCCTCTCCAATCTGGGACGCCTTGGGGGATGTCAAACTGCCAGACACCCCTCTCACAATCCAGGACCACTGGCTCCTAACTGCTCGCCTGCCTGCCTGCCTGATCGTTCCTATCTGCCCCCCTGCCAGCCTGATCACCCTTAATCACCTCTGCCTGTTGGCATGATCGCCCCTAACTGCCCCCCTCCCACCAGCCTGGTTGCCCCCAACTGCCCCCTCTGCCAGGCTTGTCATCTCCAACTGCCCCCCTCTGCCACCCTGGTTGCCCCTAACTGCTCCCACACCCCACCCCCGCTGGCCTGGTCACCCATAACTGTCCTCCTGCCAGCCTGGTCAACCCCAACTTCCCCTCCCCACCTGCCAGGTCACCCCCAACTGTCGCCCCTGCCAGCCTGGTAGCTCCCAATTGTCTCCCCCACCAGCCTAGTAACCACACGCAGCCTGCTGTTCAGTCATTTGGTTGTCCATCACTAACCCCCCTGCCAATCTAGTCACCCCATGCAGCCTGCTGTTCAGTTGTTTGGTCATCCCTCACTAACCCCCTTGCCAGCCTGACTGCCCACACAGCCTACTGTTCAGTCATTTGGTCGTCCCACACTAACCCCCTGCCGGCCTGGTCATCCCACACAGCCTATTGTTTGGTCGTCTGATAGTTTAGGTCATAATGGCCCCTGGCTTTTTATATATTAGGATTTTTAAAAATTATTATTATTGCTTCAACTTCACTAGTTGTAATCTATTCAGATTTTCTGATTCTTCCTGATTCTATTTTGGAAGACTATGTTTCTAGGAATTTATCCATTTCATCCAGGTTGTTGAATTTGTTGGCATACAATTATTCATAATATTTTCTTATATTCCTCTGCAATTTTTTTGGTATCAGTATACTTCTCCTCTTTCATTTCTAATCTTATTTTGGTCCTCTCTTTTTTTTACTTGATGAGCCTGGCTAAAGTTTGCCAATCTCATCTTTTCAAAGAACCAGCTCTTGATTTCACTGATCTTTTATATTGGTTTTTTTTTTTAAACTCTATTTTATTTATTTGTACCCTGATCAATTATTTCCTTCCTTCTACTCCATTTGGGCTTTGTTAGTTGTTCTTTGTCCAGTTTCTTTTGTTTGAGATTTTTCTTGTTTCTTGAGATAGACCTGTAATGCTATGGAATTCCCTCTTCGGGCTGCTTTTGCTGTGTCCCATAGATTTTAGGTTGTTGTGGTCTCATTTTTGTTTTTTTCAAGATATTTTTAGTTTTTTTTTTCTTGATCCTATTGTTAACCCATTCATTGTTTAGTAACATGTTATTTAGCTTCCATGTCTTCATGTGTTTCTCAGTTCTTTTCTTGTGACTGATTTCTAATTTCATACCATTACAATCAGAGAAGATGCTTGATATTATTTAAGTTTTCTTAAATTTATGGAAACTTGTTTTGTGTCCTAACATGTGGTCTATCCTGGCACCTTTCCCATGGGTACTTAAAAAGAATGTATACTCTGTGGCTTTGAGGTGAAATGCTCTGAAGGTATCAATTAAAATCCATCTGATCTATGGTGACAGGGGAAAAATAAAAATAAAAAAGAAATCCACCTATTTCCTTGTTGGTATTTTGTCTGGAAGATCTATCCATTGATGTCAATGGGTGTTAAAGTGCCCTACTACGATTGTATTGTTGTTGATCTCTCCCTTTATTCCATCAAGATTAACTTTACATATTTAGGTGCTCCTATGTTGGGTGCATAAATGTTCACAAGGATTCCATCCTCTTTATCATATGTAGCGTCCTTCTTAGTCTCTTATATAGACTTTGCTTTAAATTCTATTTTGTCCAATGTAAGTATTGCTTTTTTTCATTTCCATTTGCATGAAATATCTTTTCATTCCTTTATTTATGTCTGTGTGTATCTTTTGTTTGGAGAATTTAAAATTTAAATTTTAAATTCTACAGCCTTTTAACAAATAGTAAACAAAAAAAAGGGGGGGTTTTATGGTTAAATTAATTTGAGAAACTTTGTTAAATAGGTTTATTTAACAATGTTAATATAAATTATGTTAATATTAAGTATGTTAAGTATGATTATGAAGGATTTCCTAGTCTTCCTTCACCATAAAATCCATTTTAAATGGATTGGCAATCAATGGATCAAACCTGAGGAAGTGCAGGTCAAGCATCAATATCTATTTTTCTCAGTATACGTTATCAGGAGCTGAGTGCCCATATTGCTTGAAGTGAATAATGTTTTCAAGCAATATGAAATTACTTTACCCTAAAAATCTTCCTTGTAGTTGTTATCATAAAACATGATAAATTTTCACATAGAGACATTTATTAGACCAGCCTAAGACAACATGAAAGTATCTTAAATATCTAATTTAAATTTTAGAGGAAATCCAAGATGGTAGGATTTGGGGAAGAGGATAAGAAAAGCAAATAAAACTTTTAATTGAAACAAACCTCTGAAACAAAGTATAAATAGCATGTGGTCCAGGGATAGGTCTAGACTGTAATCCTGTTTCTACCACCAAATGAGGTACCACACTGTAGGCAAATTATTTGGCCTTGCTGTGCCTGTTTATTCATAGATAATAGTAGAAACTACTTTCTAGAAATGTGGTGATGAATAAATTGTTTAGCATGGTGCAGGACATACTGATAATGCTTTTGCTGTTAATAACAATAATGATAAGTAACATTAAGCATTCACTATGAACTTTCAGAAAGAATCTTTAGATGTGTACCTACCTCCTAGGTATATTTATATGCCTATAAATCAAAATTTATGATATAGTATTCTAATATTTTGACATACTATTTCAATTTTCAAAGGAATCTACTTCTCTTACTCCAGATATAGCATGTATATACTTCAGAACAAGGTTTATTAAACATCATTTTATAAAACTGTGCTTGCTATTACAAACTGAAATATGTAAATAGGAACAAATTTAATTTAAACTTGATCTATTATCCCTATTGGATTAGTTATATTTCAAAAATACAAAAATGTTTATATGTCTGTATTTTACCACCTTCTATTAATACAACAGTTACTTATATGATTAAAAACACTTATTATTATCACCAGAAAGATTAAAGTCTACTTACAGTGTTCATGACATTTTGCCAAATTTTCTAGGTCATCCACATGATAGTAATCATAGCCTGATGTTCCCAGAACTTCAAATGGCAAATATCCTATTATGGGTGGTGCCCTAAATTACATATAAAGCAATATTATAACTTTTTCCATAATGAGAGATATTCCAACTAAAAATCAATTTTAAGGGAACCTTTATATATTTGAAAAAATGGATAATGAACTTGATCATCCAAATTAGAAAAAGTTTATTTTTGAAATCCATTAATTTAAACAATTATGAGTGTTCCCTTTTTATAAAATTTAAAAATGGAGTTACCTGTGATCTAGAAATAGAAATTTCCATTCTAAACTATGTCTAGATGTAAACTCTTCATTGGGTTCTTCAACAGTGCACATTTCCTATAAATAAATTAATAATTACAATTCAGAAATACTTTTCTGCCTCTTGAAGAATCCTAAATATTGTTAGCCATAAAAGTCATTATTAAACAACTTTTCTAGCAATTTTAAAACACATTTTAATTTTCTAGTACTAAAGAATATGGCAATAAACAAATGCAGGCTTCTAGAGGAGTACTTCTTACTCTACACATTTCTCCATTCACTCACATGCCTATAAACCCTAATTCTGAATTCAGACCTTTCTCCTGGACTACAGTGCCATATTTCTTTGTGGATGTCCCCACCCATCACAAACTCAGTATTTCCTAAAATGAACTAACTACCTATTCCTCCTATCTAGTTAAAATAATTTTCTATATGATCACCTTTTACCATCTAAATGCCTACTGCTAAATCCTTTCAAATTCACCTCCTACCTTAAAAAAAAAAAGTCTATTTGATCCCATCCATCTCCAGTGTCTTAGTTTAGACTTTAGGCCCTCATTATCATTGATTCACATTATTGCCATAGCATCTCCCCAAACAACTCTCTGGGTTCTTCAACCCATCTTCTATTCTGGCTATAATTATAATTACCTTACTAATACTCAAATATGATCACATAACTTTCCTGCTTAAAACCTTACTGATTCCTCATTCTGTTAGGATGAAGTTTAAACTCTTCAGTATGAAGAGATAAAAAAAGAAACATATTTCAGTTCTGGCCTTGAATTATTTTCTATCATCCCTACCCCCTTCACACACAGTAACCCTAGACTCTACTCATATTCAACAGTGTGTTCCAACCTGCCTCTGTATCCTTGAATGACCTTCTATAGCACAATGCAATGATTAAAGAGTTTGGGCTTTGAAAGAAAAAGAATTAGAATCAATCTCATTTCTACCACTTAATAACTTCAACTTTGGGCAAATAACTTCCCTAAGCCTGTTTCCTTATACATAAAATGGGGATCACACTAACATCTACCTTAAAGGGTTGTTATAAGAATTAAATTAGATATTGCACAGAAAGTATACAGTACGTAAGAAGAACTAAATATTTTCCACTGCTATAATTTCCTAAGATCAAAACAAGAAGAGCAAAACTGTTTAAGATCTTCTAATTGCTAATTCAGTACCTGTCCTGCAATATGGCATCGTCTTAAATTTAAAATCTTAGCCTAGTTTACTTCCAGCCTCTTTTTTTTAGTGGCTGAATTACTTCCTCTTCCACTTCTCTACTAATCATCTGCTTGTGAGGTCTGAACAATAAAAATACATTCTTTTTTTAAACTTTATTTTTATATTATTTTAAAATATATTTTATTGATTTTTTACAGAGGAAGGGAGAGGGATAGAGAATTAGAAACATCAATGAGAGAGAAACATCGATCAGCTGCCTCCTTCACACTCCCTATTGGGTATGTGCCCACAACCAAGGTATATGCCGCCCTTGACAAGAATCGAACCTGGGACCCTTGAGTCCACAGGCTAATGCTCTATCCACTGAGCCAAACTGGTTAGGGCTAAAAATACAGTCTTTAATTACATTTTAATATTGAAAAGATAAATTGCATGTAGTAAAAAGCCACATGTATATTTCTAAAGAAATTTTCAAAAAAATGTTGGCCTTTCTTCTTTAATGTAGTTGTGAACTACACACAAAAATACTTTTTTAAAATTTTGCACAAAAGCAGGACACCAGTGATTTATAGTATAACTATATCTGTAAAGGATATATATTTCAAAATGAATTCTAAGTTTAAAGAGTACCTTGATAACTCATTATGTGTTTTAAAAGTATAGTATAATGATTATGTATATTTCAAGACTCATGACCATCACTACCTTTAATGTTTGTAGAAAATTTCAGTTATTCTAGAAACAGCAAAAATAAAAAAATTACATAAAGACTATTTGGCAAACTATGAATATAAATCCTCTTTAGGAAATAAAATTCAAAACATACCTTGATGAACTGAGGTGTAGCTAATCTGACAGTAGCTACAAAACAAACTCTATCTTCATAAGAAGGTCTGTGTGTGCGTTGTATAGTTCCTTCAAAACCATTGTGTGAAGTGGATACTAAAACAATAAGGACATATGTATCATCACTTACCCTAGTAAAATCTAGTTATTATTGATGTTCAAATATCTATGTTTGTGAGAGCTTGAAATAATACCAGATTAAAATACATCGTAAGGAAAGCATTTTAACTTACCACTGTTCAAAGATTTGAAATTTCCTATAAATTTCACATATTCATAGGTAGATGGCTCTTTTGGGTCTATTGTTCCTCGAAGCATATGACAACAGAATTCTAACTGATTTTTTGCTGAAGTGGGAGAAAAAATATATTTGTGATTTAGCATGAGTGATATATTACACGAGAATATAAAAGTGGTATAAGTTTACAATATTATCTCTAACAACAGTCCTCAATTACATTTTTATTTAGTTCATAAAAAGTAGAATACCTATAGGAGATGATCTTAACACAGAAAATAGAAGATTTATCCTTAATAGAGAAAACTGATCTTCTGATATAAGCAACTCCATATTTGTCCATTTTTATCTGTCCTTCCTATTCATTCTTCACTCTAATTTCATAAAAGTTTTACTTCCCATTTTAAAGTTAATGCTTCTATGTCTACTGTGAACAGTCTTTCCTATGTTCTTTAGGACCAGGGCCACACCTTTATTCATTCCTTTAGCATCCACACCTTCTCTTCGAGTCATTTGTATCTATTTGTAAATCTGCTTAGGTCTCCCCATCTCAAAAAAACCATCAAAAAAGGTTTTTCATACTACTAAATATATATATATATATATATATATATATATATATATATATATATATAATCAATTCAGAGAAGAAGGGAGAAGGATAGAGAGATAGAAACATCAATGATGAGAGAGAACCATTGATCAGCCACCTCAGCATGCTCTCTATTGGGGAACAAACCAGCAACCTGGGCATGTGCCCTTGACCAGAATTGAATCTGGGACCCTTCAGTCCAAAGGGTGACACTCTATCCACTAAGCCAAACCAGCTAGGGCCATGCTACTCTTTATAGTATCACAGAAATTGTCTTCCTTTTCATTACGTGCTTCAAGTTCCACACACACATTCATTTACCTTAACTTTATGCATTGTGGCTTTCATCCTTATAACCTTGATAGCAGGGGTGAGAAACCTTTTTTTCTGCCAATAATTATTTGACATAATTCGCAGGCCATACAAAATTCCCAACTCAAAATTAGCCTGCTGTATTTGTTCAAACATTTAAATAACTCACTCCTAATGTCCTGGCTGGGCCAGACCAAATGATTTTGTAGGCCTTATATGGCCCACAGGCTGGACGTTCCCCACCCTTGCTCTATAGGAATTGCTCTCCTAAAGATCACCAATACTTGTACAGTAATCCCCCACTTACTCTAGGAAGGTATGTTTCAAAACCCCCAGTGGATGTCTGAAACCACGGATAGTACCAAACCCTATAAATATTAATTTTTTTGGCATTCATACCTATGATAAAGTTTAATTTAAAATTAGGCACAGTAAGAGAATAACAATTACTAATCATGAAAGAACAGTTACAGGTATACCTCATTTTATTGCACTTTGTGTTATTGCACTTCACAGATATTAAAATTTTCATATATTGAAGGCAAGACACACCACTAGCAGAAAGATTACGACTTGCTGTATTGTGGTGGTCTGGAACTTAACTGATAATATCTTCAAGGTATACCTGTATCACAATATACTTTTTATTACAGTTATGTGACTATGATCTCTCTCAAAATATTTTATTGTACTCTATGTACAGAAAGGATATGGTGGACAGAGAGATAATTCACATCCTGTGTGGGACAGAGCAGGACGACATGAGATTTCATCACACTATTCAGAATGATCTGCAATTTAAAATTTATGAGTTGTTTTTTTGAATTTTTCCATTTTTATATTTTTAGGTGGAGACTGACTGCAAGTAATTGAAACCATGGTAAGTGAAACACAAATAAGGGAATACTACTGTACTGTTAACTTTAATGGACTATCCTCATTATTACTATCTCTTCTTAAAACTCACACTTCATTCCCATAGACTGAAACGTTATCTTCCTACCTTATTGAGTATTTCTATATTTTTACTAACCAGTCTTCTACAAACATTTTTTTTTATCTTGATCTACTATTATCCTTTATAAATTTACCTGCATTTAGTCAACTTAATTACTTCTAAATCTCTCTCTTTCCCCAACTCTAACATTTTGTATAAGATGAAGTCTTATGTCACTATGTGTTTTCAGGACATTTCTACTCGATTGTCCCATCAATAACTCACTAAAAATATTTCAGAGTTGGCCGAAACCGGTTTGGCTCAGTGGATAGAGCGTCGGCCTGCGGACTGGAAGGTCCCGGGCATGTACCTTGGTTGCAGGCACATCCCCAGTGGGGGGTGTGCAGGAGGCAGCTGATCGGTGTCTCTCTCTCATCGATGTTTCTAACTCTCTATCCTTCTCCCTTCAACTCTGTAAAAAAAAAAAAAAAAAAAAAAAAAATCAATAAAATATATTTAAAAATAATAAAATAAAATAAAAATTTCAGAGTGAATTTATCCCTCTCTTCCTCAGCTAGCTATCCTTCCCCTCTGTCCTATGTGCCTCTATTTCTCAAGATAGAAACAGTATCAATTTGATCTCTTCTCTTCCACAAGCCCTCAAACTAGTCTGTCACTAGGACCTGCTATTTATTTCATCAAAAAAGCTCTCATAAGTTATTTTTCCAAATGAGCATCCAATATCACCAACTTGGTATTAGATGCAAATCATGGAGGTAACTATAATACAAAAATGAGTTGTTTTTTTGAATTTTATATGCCTCCATATACTTGCCACTAGAATTTAACTTTTCCTACTACTGTTAACTAATGTTACTTTCACAATTATTATTTCAGCACTCAAGGACTGGTAATGCCTTCTTTGTTCACAGCATCAAACTCACAATCTTCTGTTATTATTATGAATGGCTTCATTATCTACCACAACAGGTTCAAAATCAAACCATCTTCTTCCTAAAACCTCCATTGGTGAACCTCAGCCACTTGGTCTCCTGCCTCACACCAAGTCCCATTGAGTTTATCTACTCAACACTCACATACAGGCTTTCTTCTCCATCCTTACTTCTATTGCTAGTATCCTATAGTTTTTATTTTTACCTCCAGTCTAATCCTTTTAAAAATTTTCCACCTGAGATTTTGTCCAAACCAAAAAACCACCTTTTTTTCCGGGCCCTCACTACATAAAAAACAATAAAAATCAAGCGAGTTTGAATAAAAGATTAGGCCCCATTTTCTTTTCTAGATACAAGTAACACCACTGGTACCCCCGTAAATTCATTAAGGCTCAAATAACCTACTTGCAGAATGCTAAATTTTCCTGTTTTAAATCATGTTTAATCTTCTGGCATAAATCCCTTTTTTTCTGGGAAAATAATTTTTTGTATATCGGTTGTTTAACTAGGGGGTTAGTAAGTCTTTCTATTAAGGCTTTTCTCTATCTAAACATATTGTTGCCATCCACCCTCCCATCTTAGAAGCAGAAGTCTAACGTCTATCCTTCTGGCGAGGCTTTCATTCAGTTCTCCCACTAACTCTGCCCTTATGAAGGCCTCTATAGTGAACTCTTTCTATAGAAGAATCAGCTTCTAGGTCGCAGGATTCAACCTTTCTAATTCTTCTCTCCTTACTCTATATACTCATTTCAAGCAATACAATTCAATCTATGACTTCAAATACTATTTATAGGCATATAACTAACAAATCTACATCATTATATCTAGCACGAATCTTTCTCCTAGGTGAAAAACTAGAGTGGTCTATTGGTAATGTCATAAGAACTTAATTTTTCAACAATTATAAATAGGCTTCAAAAGGACTCTCTTCATCTCTAGTTCATCTCATCTCCTTCTGACAAGCCACTCATTCACATCAAAGATATACATTCATACATACTTACACATATATATGTGTGTGTGTGTACGTACATGTCAATTCTTGAACAGTTAGTTTTCTATAGAATTTGAGTTCAAAATACCAAGAACGTTTCAAATGATTAATTATATCAGAATAATCAGAAATGTCAAAATTAATATCAGTATGACCAGAAAAGTCAAAATTGAAAAGTAAAAAAAGTGATTTAAAAATATTTAATAACTAGTATCCAAATATAGTCTTGTGATCATCTCAGATTTTACAGAGAAAAATTTAGTGAATAAAATTAGGTATTCTGGTCAAATTAATTTACCAATGAACCTAGAAGAAATGTCTGATTATACCATAATATTTTTAGTTTTCAAAAATAGGAACTATTTTTCACTGTTCTTGGCACTTCTCTGATATTGCAAAAGTGCCTGGCATGTAACATATATCCAATAAATGATTTTTTAATTAGTAAAGCAATTTTCAAGTTATTGTTGTCCAACTGATTGATTATAGTGAAAATGAGAATGTTTCATTTTCTCATTACATAAGATTTTATATAAAAAATAAAAACATATTACAAAGTTCCACTTTTGTGTAAAATACAGTTTTATGACATAACTATTAAAATAAAAAAGATGGGATTTCCCAATATATTCTAGAATAGAGTTCAGACTTTAAAATACAGTCTTAATTCCGTATTATATATTTTTAAAATTTATAAGTGATCTAATAAGGTATGTGAAATGATGCTATGTATTAATTTAGTCAAACATGTCTGTGTTTGTTACAAAAGCAAAGTATAACATACCCAAATATATTTAGCTTTTTCCTTAACAGCTACTACTTACATTTTAAATATTCCGGGGTTAATGAGTCACTTTCCAGCAGATGGGTAGATAGTATTTTATAAATCTCTGAATGTTCCCCCTCTGGGATGAAATTAAATATACTTTGATCCACAAGATCAGACTGAAAAAAAATTCAATAAAATAACTTTAGTGACTCAAGAGACATGTATTTTAAAAGGACACAATCACTCTTAAAACATCAGGTGAGCATATGATTAACTTTTGATTATTTGTAGAAACTGACCAACATCAAGTTACAGAGCACAACATAAAGAACAAGAGAAGCCTGGCTGGTAGCACTCAGTGGCTGAGCATCAACCTATGAACCAGGAGGTCAGTGTTCTATTCCCAGTCAGGGCACATGCTCAGGTTGCAGGTTTGATCCCCGTGTCAGATGTGCAGGAAGCAGATGATCAATGATTCTCTCTCATCATTGATGTTTCTCTCGTTCTCTCCCTCTCTCTTGCTCTCTGAAATCAATTTAAAAATTTAAAAACAAAATGAAGAAAAGTGGAAGACAATTAACATGACTTCCATGTCTCCATCAGATCCATGATCAATATGATCTTGAGAAGTCTGATGATTTGCAAAGGTGAGTTTCAACCAATTTGAACATTTAAAATAGAACAGAACTAAGAAAGTTGATTAGGAAAATCTTTGGCTACAAGACATAGCCCTACGGTATATCTAAACCTCTGGTAATTTGTGGTGGTAATTACTAGAACAAAGAACCAAAGGACTAGCCACAGGCTAAGCCAAGAGGAGATTTGACTTCAGTGTCATTTCTATTATCTAATGTGTCTTTTCCTTTTTACTTCATCTTTTCCAGCCACCCATCCTGTTCCCAATGTCAAAAAGCCCTGCTGTTAGCTAACCCTTCTCACCAAAATCAAGTAATATGTCAAACATTATAATCCTTGCTCAAATATGGCTTTAATAATGATTCATTTATCAAATGTAATTTGACAAACAGGTTGCTACAATATGCCATGGCTATGGGAATCAAATACAAATAAGATAGTTCCTATTCTGCCCAAACCGTTTTGGCTCAGTGGATAGAGTGTCAGACTGAAAGAACCTCGATTCCGGTCAAGGGCATGTACCTTGGTTGTGGGCACATCCCCAGTAGGAGGTGTGCAAGAGGCAGCTGATGAATGTTTCTCTCTCATCGATGTTTCTAACTCTCTCCCTTCCTCTCTGTAAAAAAAATCAATAAAATATATATTAAAAAAAAGATAGTTCCTATGCTAAGGACCACTGACAACAAAACAAATCAGTGATTTCATATTTTCTACCAAATCCAAACTATTTTACTTGGTTTCTCCAGATTTTCAAACTGCTCTGTGGAATCCTGGAGATTCTGAAGGGTTGTCTCAAGGACTGTGGAGATAAGTTAAGGGTGAAAAGGAGCTGTGAAGGCACGGCTAAGGCTCCTTTGCCTCTGTATTCACAAAAGCAGTTCCACTTTTATTTGGGTTTATATTTTAAATATTATAAAGATTTTGATTGAAGAAAGAACTTCATGGTTTAAAAATAAAAACCCTCAAATAGCAAAAGAGAGCCACTGGGGAGGTGGAAAGTGGGAAGAGCTTTTACTGTACCTTTTGTAAAAGCCATACATTCACTCTAGCCCTCAAAGTCTGCTCTATAAATTGGAATAGCCTTCCTCTCTTTCTCTACATATTTGTATCTTCCATCTTTCAAAGGCCAGATCAAATTATTTCCTTTAAAAAAGTATTCTTAATACCATAATTCACAGTAAATAAAACTCTTTCAATACTTATTACTCTTATCATTCATTTCCCATAAAAAATTCCTGTAATTGTATTTTAATGTCTATGTCTTACTGCCTTGCTGCCCCATTCTATATAATAAAAGCCTAATATGCTAAGTATCCCGTCGACCCATTGGCCGTTCAACCAATCAAAGCTTAATATACTAATGATATGCTAAGGCCACTCAACCACTTCCTATGATGTGTACTGACCACCAGTCAACTAGTCGCTATGATGTGCACTGACCATCAGGGGGTAAACGCTCCGACCGATAGGTTAGCTTGCTGCTGGGGTCGGGCCAATTGGGACAGAGCAAAATGATTCAGATATGCCCTAGAACCCTCCTGTGTCTCTCTCTGGCCCCTATGGTGCACTGGTGGGATCCCTGGGCCTGGCCTGTGCCCTTTTGCAATCTGGGACCCTCGGGGGATGTCAGAGAGCCAGTTTCAGTCCCATCCTACAGACTGGACTGAGGGACGCCCCCACTGGTGCATGAATTCATACACCAGGCCTCTAATAAGTAAATAAAAGCCCCCTATGTCTTATATATTTTCCACCGCCCTTCAAATTAAGACACATTAAAGTTGTGCATTGCATGTAACAGTTACTAGTACAGTACTTGATTCTAGATTAAGGAGTTATTTGATAAAGGCTTACAGATAACCACACTAAAAATATATCTCCATTTAAACAATTTTTTTCTCCCCCTCCCCCCATGAAAGTCTGAAAAGCCTCTAGAACAGAAGTTACTAGGTGTAGTGGTAAAGAGTGGTTAATAATGCGGACTTTGTAATCAAAGAAAATACAATAATTTCAAGAGAAACATCAAAAGTGCTTTTTTCAAAGTAATGTCCATCACTAGCTACACATGCCCCCATCTTTCAGGTAATTTGTGGATACCATCTCAATAGAACTTTTCTTGTTTTGAGGCAAACCATTCAGAGACCCAATTTTCCACTTCTTCATATGTTTTGAAGTACTGCTCAAAAAGTTCATGTGTCCACAATCAGAACAAGTGGTAATCTGAAGGAGCAAGGTCTGGTGAATACAACAGGTGGGTTAATTACTTCCCAGGCAAAATCTTGTAATGTATCTTTAACTGGTTTTGAAGTGTGTGATGGTGCGTCATCATGAAGCAAAATTACTTTGCCATGTTTTCTGGCATATTCTGGTCATTTCATGATCAAAGCACGGTTCAAATTGATTTGTCCTCAGTAGCGATCTATATTAATGGTTTCACCTGGTTTTAGAAACTCCTAATACACCATACCTTCCTGATCCCAAATGCAGAGCACTGTCTTCTTTCCAAAGCAATTTGGTCTTGCAGTACATATTGATGGTTGACCTGGACCAATCCATGATTTTGTGCATTTGGGATTCTCAAAATAAATCCACTTTTCATTGCCAGTCACGATTTGATGCAGAAAAGACTTTCTTTCGTGCCACTGAAGCAATATTTTACTGATGACTTTTTGGGTTTCCATTTGTCTTTTGTTCAGCTGATGTGGCATTTTCCTTTCTTTAAAATCTTTCCCATTGCTTACAAACAATCAGAAATTGTTTGGTGAGCAACGCTTAAATCTTTCTGTGAGTTGTTTTTGAGTCTGACATGCACCTTCATCCAATAATGCTTGTAATTGTTGGTCTTCAAACTTTTTCAGTTGACTTGGACATTGTCTTTCACATAGAAATCATCACCTTTAAACCAGCGTTCACAGTATCTTGAGATGGAACATGTTCACCATAAGTTTCCCAAACTTTTCTTCAAAATAAAGTAATGAATTAAAACTACCCACAAATGCTCTTTTTTGGGGGCACAGAATTCAACATTTTTAAGTATAAAAATATCTATGATATTAACACCTTCAGAAATTTGACATATCAAGTTTTGAAACTTGTTGTCAATACAACTAAAAAGCATATATATCAAATCACATATATATCAACATATGTGTAATTTCAATCTATTGAAAAAAATCCGCATTATTAACTGCTACACCTAAGATACATTAAAAATTCAGGCATGAATAACAGAAATACTAAAAAGTTGCTTTTTTATTGACAAAATAGACACATTGATATTAATGTAAAGAATAGTTTAAACAGAAATAAAACTATTTGAAGTACTAAAACTTTCATTTTGAGAATGATTATAGTTTTCTATTATTTACTCTCATTGATAATTTCTTTTACTATTTTAGGAAATTATAAACTGACCTATGTTATCCTTGCTTTCCCAACTATAAATAGGTGTTTCATATTCACAGAGAAAAGAATAGGAATGAGTAGCACAGAGTGGTATGGTCACAAGCACTGTTTCCCCTGAAACTTCATACTATGAGGGATCAAAGTTAGCAGGTGACTAACTAATATGTCAAACTTTCCATTAATCACCATATTTAAAATCTCTAAATGAAGCTAATCATACTTAATATCACCATACCCTTCACTCAGTTCCCAAACACAATTCAAAGAAAACTAAAAAGGCAGCTATCCTGATCCTTTTATTTCCTTCAAGCATTTTCATGAAGAAGAAATGTAAATCCTCCTGAGTTAATTATGTGACATATATCAATAGCCTTTCTGTTTTTTCAACATTTTGTGGAAATTATAAAATGTTATCAATAATTATCTTTTCCCTCTGCTAAGCTGTAATGTGGTTATCACCTTCTCTGCATTACTCAGTTACAATTTTAATATATTCTCTCTGAGAAACACATTTAAACAAGCGTGAGGAATCAATATTTAGGTGTAAAATTTAAAATTTTTTTAAAGTTTAAAGTTTGAAATATAGTAAAACATTAACTTTGTGTCTTGGAAGTTCCACAAAAATGTTGCACAGTTAAGTCCAATTTCTCTACTTGCATGTTTCTTACTGATAATATAAAGGGGATGGGTTAATGATGTCTAAAATCTCTTCTGGCACTGAAGTGGCATGAGCCTAATTTTGTCACAGAAAGCCAGATAGCCAGATGGGGAAACAAAAAAATCCATAAGTTTTCTTTCCAATCTCAAAAGAATAAAGCATTTATGCCAAGTTATTAGCCACAAATAGATTAAAATGTGCCTAATTTAATAAGCATGAAGTGACAAAGAACACTTTTTTTTTTTTTGCAGGATTTATAGAATCAGCCTTGTAATTTTAAATCATATTGACCACTAATTTAAGATGGCAAGTTTAATTTCTCAAAAAAGCTAAATTATAAACATTAACGCCTAATTTAGGAATTTGCTAATGTGTCTTTCCTTCTGGCAACAGCCAAAATTCTATTTTATTTTATTATTATTTTTTTATTTTTACTGATTTTATTTTTTTAATTTTTTTCCTTTTTTAAATTAAATTATTATCTGTGTACATATCTTACCATTGCCCCCCCCCCCCACTCCCCTACATGCCCTCCCTCCCCAGAATTTTGTGTCCATTGGTTGTACTTATATGCATGCATACAAGTCCTTCGGTCAAAATTCTATTTTAGTTAATAGGTATGTACATTAAAACACAATGAAAAAGGCATTATTTTAAACCTTTTGTTTAGCATCTGTTACAGTTTAAATATTAACGACAACCAAAACAGAAAGTCACATATTTTTTCTTATGTTTGATCCTGAGTATTATTTTATTTTCTCAAAAAACATGTTTCTCTTTTTGCGCCTCCCCCCTCCCTCAAGCCACAGAGTAATATACAATTCAGCAATATCAGTGATGTGAAGAAAAGTGTCCATAGTAACTGGTGAGCAGCAAAAACACATTAACAAAGGATACTATTAACTTAATATGGAATGAAATGGGTCTATTAGAGCAGCAGCAGCAATTTCCTCTGCTCTCAAATTCACCTAACAATCTATATGCTTTGGCTAACTCAATGAAAAATAGCAAGATAATGTTAATAACATAGGAAACTGGCTATGGGACACATGGGAACACTATGTACAATTTTCTTGGTTTTTCTGAATCTAAAAACAGTTATAAAATAAAAAGGTTTTTAAAAATCCAGGATGGAATGGAAAGGTAAAGACAGTTTTCACGAAGAGACAATGTTAATAACAAAATGCTTGGATCCCAGCTAGATCTATCACATGTTATCTATTTCAAAAATCAATTAAACTTCAATTCACTAAAGATTCAATACTAGTGTGCCATTAGGAAATATTTTTTAAAACAGCTACATCAAATAGCCTACATCAATAGCCTACTCATTCAATAAAATATTACCAATGCCTCTCTAAGAAACTAGCTAGCCCATGAGGATATAAAGTTCCTCATTTAAGAAGCTACACCTACCATGATTACCCTAGTAAACAGAAAACTACAATTCACTGTCATGATGACAGTACATATAAGGTAACAGGAGCAGAGAGAGGAAGGGCATCTAATTCTGAATGGAGTTCAAGGAAAGAGCCCAAGAAATAGGCTTTTAAAAAGTATTACCACATATATTACATAAGATGCTGATTATGAATAATTTTTAAAAATTTTAATTAAAAAAATTACATTGTTTCTATAAATACATAATGAAAAGAAAACCTATACAATTGTATATGGTTTAAAAGAATATAATAATACCTTTTTAAAATTAGTCTTATTTTAATCACTATCTTAATCCTACAATGGGTTTCTTTCCCTAGCTTTTTTTACATGTAATTAAAAAAGAAAAAAAAAAAAAGAATAGCCCAGAAAATTCAGCTAATCAATCTGTCCTTTTCTCTGCCTATACTAGTTTATTTATGTGTTCTATAATGTTTCCTCTCAAATAATTTTTAGATGTTGGTTAAATTACCTACTATTTGAGCTTACTGTATAAATGGAAGCCACTAGAAAAGCAGGCAAGCAAAGTCATTATCTGGTGTGAGGCACAGAAATCAGCAAATTACTTAATGCCTGGCCTTCAGTAAGAAATTACCCTTTTAAATCTGGTCGTTTTAAAAATATATATATTTTATTTTTTTAATTTTTTTTTTAGAGAGAGGAAGGAAGAGGGACAGAGAGCTAGAAACATTGATGAGAGAGAAACATCTATCAGCTGCCTCCTGCACACCCCCTACTGTGGATGTGCACGGAACCAATGTACATGCCCTTGACCGGAATTGAACCTGGGACCTTTCAGTCCACAGGCCGATACTCTAACCACTGAGCCAAACTGGTTTTGGCTACATCTGGTCTTTTAAGTGTAGTGTCCATTCTTTATATAGAGTATGAGGTGGCAGAGTAATCAGAGGGAGGACAATACTGCTTATCAGTATCTCTTAACAGAGACCTTTACAATACAGGTACTTTGTATTTACAATAAATTAAGAGAGACTTATAAGTAACTTCAGAATATTTATACAACAAGCCCTATCTTAGATAAGAACATTACATATTAAATAAAAATTTCAAATTCATTAAAACTGTCAATTGCAGCAGAGCATCTAACATTGTCTGGTAGAGAGTTGATATTCAATAAATATAGTTGAAGTAAAACACCACACATTAATTCTGGTGTTTACCATCTTTATCAAAATCATACAATGTAATTATTTTCTAATTCTGTACCCAGGATTATATTGATAACATATTGAATATTGCCACTTAGGCATTATCAATTCAAGCCACAGAGCACAAAAGTTCTGTATCTAATATTTTTAGTGTGTTCTTTTGTTATTCTTTTGAGAAAATTATTTGTATTCCTCTAGCTGTAACACAAATATCTCAGTAGAAATTTAGTTGTTCTCAAGGTCTTCTCAGTGATTCAGCAACATCTTCACCAGGCTAAATAAAGAGGAAATACTGAAAACTTAGCATCAGAAAAAAAGAAGACAGCAAGAACAGAGGTTAAAGAGGCCACTGAATAGTTATTACAAATTACAGAGGCATGACTGAACTGAGAAAAAAAAAAAAACAGCCATGAAAAACAAAGATATATTTTGAGTTCTCCTCCTCTCTACTTATTGCTTAACGTTGCTCTAGAGGTTCATTTCCTAGTACTTTACAATGTTTAAAATAAGCATTAAATAAGAAAGAGATCACAGGATTTTTATACTTACTGGTAAATGTTCAAGTAATGAAGTTACACTCTCAGACACATATATTATGCTTCCATCTGTCATGATTGCTAAAAAAAAACCATCAAGAGCCTGAAATTAAACATAATAATTAGTTAAATAAAAAAATAAAGTGTTTTCTTGAACAAAAATAAAAATCTAACTTACTAAATGACAAAAGACATAAGGTAGAAATTTCCAGAACACAATCAAAATGCTAGCTTTCCCCCTTCACAATACTGAGTATGGTATAAATCTTTGTGCATTCTTAAAATGCTTTTGGGGAAAAGATATCACTCTCTAGCTATTGGATAGTTGATTTCTAAACTATAGACTTAATGTTCTACCTTTATAATTTATATATTGTACACAGATGGCCTTATTTGAAGATACTAATATCACTAAAGCACAGACACCATTAATAATGTCCTTGGCACACAAAGATAAAGAATTCATTATCTCCTTTTGTATATATCAACTGAGAGGGAAGAGTAGAAGAGAGAGGGAAAGAGAAAGAAATATCAATGTGAGAGAAAAACATGAATTGGTTGCCTCCTGCATGTGACCTGACCAGGGCCCAGGACAGGAGAGGAGCCTGCAACCAAAAGATGTGCCCTTGACTAGAATCAAACCTGGGACCCCTTGATCCATAGGTTAGATGCTCTATCAACTGAGCCAAACAGGCTAGGGCTTAAAATTAACTTCATTAATTTTAAGAAACTTTTCATACCAATGAAGCAAGGTAAATAGTGAATGATTACCACATATTTTATTACAAACTAGAGGATTGGTGCACAGATTCGGGCACTGGTGGGGGCGTGGCCTGCGGGAATCAGCCCGCTGTGGGAATGCTGCTCATCCAGGTCAGCTGAGCAGCGGTGGATCTGCCCTCTGAGTGGCTGCTCCCATAGTGGGAGCAGCCACTCAACCCAGTCAGCAGAGTGGGAGTGCACTGACTACCAGGGGGCAGCTCCTGCATTGAGCTTCTGCCCTCTGGTGGTCAGTGCGCGTCATAGTTGCTCTGATTGTTCTGGTCGTTCCGCTATTTGGTTGCTGGGCTTATATTACATAGGATTGCATTGAGAATATAATCATAAAATTAAAATAAGATTTTGCTGCCTGTGGATTCCTCTAAGATCTTATGATACAGCTCCGAGGACAATGGGAACTAAAGAGAAAATAAACAAATGGGACTACATCAAAATAAAAAGCTTGTGCACAGCAAAAGAAACCATCAGCAAAACAACAAGGAAGTTCACTGCATGGGAGAACATATTTGCCAAAGTTATCTCCAACCCAATATTAAGGGTTTAATCTCCAACATTTATAGGGAACTCAAACAACTTAACAAAAGGAAGATAACAACCCAATCAAAAAATGGGGCAACAGACCTGAATACTTTTCAAAAGAAGACATAAGGCCAAGAGACCATAAAAACATGCTCAAAGTTACTAATCATCCAAGAGATGCAAATCAAAGTGACATTAAGGTATCATCTCACATCTGTCAGAATGGCTATCATCAACAAATCAACAAATGACAATTGTTGGCGAGGATGTGACAAAAAAGAACCTTTGTGCACTGCTGGTGGGAATGCAGACTGGTACAGCCACTGTGGAGAACAGTATGGAGTTTCCTCAAAAACCTAAAAATGAAACTCCCATTTGACCCAGTGATCCCACTTCTAGGAATATATCCCATGAAAGTAGAAACACCAATCAGAAAGAATATATGTACCCCTGTATTCATAGCAGCACAATTTACAATAGCTAAGATTTGGAAACAGCTTAAGTGCCCATCAGCAGATGAGTGGATTAGAAAACTGTGGTACATTTACACAATGGAGTACTATGCTGCAGTAAAAAGGAAGGGACTTCTACAATTTACAACAGGTTGGATGGAACTGGAGAACATTATGTTAAGTGAAATAAATCAGGTGGAACAAGATAAATATCACATGATCTCTCTCATTTGTGGAATAAAATGAACAACATAAACTGATGAGAAAAACAACAACAACAAAAAAGCAGATCCAGAGACAGAGAAGCATCGGTCAGACTGTCAAACCTCAGAGGGTAAGGAGGATAGATCAACCAAAGAACTTGTATGCATGCATATAAGCATAACCAATTAACACGGGTGAGGGCATGAGCAGGGATGTGGGGAGGCAATAGGGGGATAAGGACACATATGTAATACGTTTATCAATAAAGAATATTTAAAAAATTGTAATTAAAAGTAAATGAGTTATTTCCTTTCTCTGTTGTAGATGTTAGTCATAAACATAATATTTATCACCTAAAGAGATAATCTTAGATAACATCAAACTACTTTTTAGAAGAAATATTTAACAAAATCAGAAACTATCTCTGGTTTATAACTCAAGTGTCCACTAATTTAAAGAGCTAGCTGCTGGTTACTAAGCTGCAAGTTCAGCACCATGGTTAGTTTCCACTGAAAGAAGTTTCACAGGGGCTGGGGCTGAGGCCATGAGTGCAGAAGCCAGTCTACCTGCAAAAAAAACCCAGCTGAGCTACTTACTTTGGACAAGTTTCATAATCTCTTTGTTCCTCAATAGCCTCATATGGCACTAAGAAAGGGATACTAATAGTGTCTACTTCATAAAAGTATTGTGAAGTTCACTGAGTTAATGTGAAAAGTGATGAGTTTTATTCCAGATTTTTAAGTGAAGGTTTAAATATATACAATATATTTATATTCCAACAAATTTCCATGTTAACATTTCTGTTGAATATACAAAGATTTAATCTAGCAATTAACTGTTCCTCATTAGCCTGCAAATACTTTATGTTGCTTAGATTTTAGTCACTATACAAAGACAGGATATATAGCCAATACATAAACAGGGTGGGTCAAAAGTAGGTTTATAGTTATTCATATAAGGAATATAAAATTAATAATTGACAATTCAAGAATAAATTATATTTCCCATACTCACAACTGTAAACTTACTTTTTGCATTTCCCTGTACATACCCGACACAGGTAAACACTTAAAGTGTAAAATAATAAATCCAAACCAGTAGGATAAGAGATGTAATTATTTAACAACGCCTACATCCCCATCTCAATCACTTTCCTCTAATCTTTCTATGTTATTTTCTGTTATGTACCTACTTTTCTTATCCTTCACTGCCTCTGTTTCCTACTTATGGTAAGTTTTCATGGAAATTTGATACTGAACTCTGTGTACTTTGTGTCCATTGATGATACCTATATTATTTCACACACATAAAAAAACATCTACTTCAATTAAGAAGTTGCCTTTCAATGTACATTTCATTTCAAAATACTCATGTATTATCATTTTATGTTATTTTGGGGTAGATTTCATTTTGTTTAAAAAAAACTACTAACAAGTAGGATACATTTCATAATATTTAATATGTGATGAATAAAATATATTATTCTTCATTTGAATGTTGCTAGTGTCATCTCAGACAGAAAATTTGGTAGCTATAGTTTTCTGACTTTTATTAATCCACTCAAAAATTCATTTAATACTGAAAATATGAAAATTTTGTCATTCCTTTACCAGATAGTACTATTTGTTTACAATACTTACATTGATTTTTAATTGAAGATAACAGTTTATTAATTTACAGTGAATTAAGTATTTTCAACATTAAATTAATATTAAAATTAGTCACTCTTATGATTTGTTTTTTGTTTTTTTAAAGAAAAATAAAACTTTTCAAAAATTAAATCTGAACATACCTCTAACATTAATTGTGTAAACTCTTCATTACTAAGGAATGTAGGTTTCCAGTCCTGTCGAATTTCACTAGCATCTGACTGTGCAGTGATTTCTGTAAACAGATTATTTGACATATTAGTGGCATATTCTTACTACAGGGTGGACGACTGGGGCAATACAAAAGCCCTACGACTGCCTTCTCTTTCCACACTCTAATTAAAGATGAGAACCTTAGTGGCGGGTAGGCAGGAAATAAAAACAAACAAACAAACAAACAAATAAATAAGTAAAGATGAGAACCTTAGACAATAACATTATTGGTCTAGGTAGGTACCAGGAGGTCTAAGTTTTGGTATGCTGAAAAATTTGAGCTACTATAGCTAATTATCTCCTTAGGATTTGGTCTTTGGTCTCTTGGATTTTCTTTTTTTTTTTTTTTTTTTTTTTTTTTTTTTTTTTTTTTTGGTCTCTTGGATTTTCTTTGGGGACCTGTGATAGACTGTGTTGCTTTCTGCTTGACACAATGACCGAACAAAATTCAGAATATACAGATATATCAAGCATTAGGAAAACTTTCTTTTTCATCTTCCTTTCCTTGCCATTCAAGTGGTAGAACCTAGAGCAGATAAAAGGACATGAGCCTGTAGAAAAACAGCCCAGGAGGTCAGTAAGCCTGCTTTTAACAAAGAAGACTTTCAGCCTTTCTATTGCCAAGTATAAAGATTGCTCCCAATCTGAGGTGCTCTATTCTTAGGATCTGAGCAGCAGTGTTTCTCTGTCAGCCCCCCAGGGCCTAGACATGTGAAGGTCTAGGACAAATGTGCTCTATTCTTAATCAATGAGATTAAATTAAGAATTGGGGCAAAAAAAACTTTATAGTAATAACCCCACAGTGATTTTGCTTAGTGTCCCCTGGCATGTTTTCTTAGAGGTAGGGAGCTGGTCAAAAATTTTTGAGATTCTTGGCTTGGGACAATATTTTAACAAAATTATTAGTTTATTTTGCAGTATACTACTTGCTAGTGGATTTAGTTATGAGAAAGTTATTAATAAATTATGAGATATGAACTATTTAGCTAACAAATGTTTTTCCATCTTTAAATGCAGACGTAGTTTTAAAAACCAGGCAAAATAAAAATCTGTCACAAATTTTACTCTTCAAAATATATTCTACTTTGAATCGAAAAGTATGGACTAAGTTGTTTAGATTTTTCTATGACCAGATATATACACTGTTCCAAAATATTAATACATACAGTTTGAATAGTTACAAAGGCAGTGCTTATTAAAATACATTTCATTTTCAAATAGAGCTATCAGCTGTTACAAGTGTGTATACATTTTTTGGGACATCTTGTGTAAATATATTAAATTGTCACCAAAAATCTACTAAATTAAAAATGCCTCGCCGGGACCGGTTTGGCTCAGTGGATAGAGCGTCGGCTTGGGGACTGAAGGGTCCCGGGTTCAATTCCGATCAAGGGCATGTACCTTGGTTGCGGGCACATCCCCAGTAGGGGGTGTGCAAGAGGCAGCTGATGGATGATTCTTTCTCATCGATGTTTCTAACTATCTCTCTCCCTTCCTCTCTGTACAAAATCAATAAAATATATTTTAAAAATAAATAAAATAAATAAATAAAATAAAAATGCCTGCACTAGAATATGAAGAGTAAATAAAAAGTCTAGCTTTTTAGAATATGGTATAATCATACTTTTTCAATTCACATCGATTATAAACATTCCGAAAAAAAAGTTAAATGCACAAGCAAATCCCACAAGTTGAGTTAAGCACAACTTATTTTAGGCTAATAATTAAATGAGAACTCTCTTTCAATTTCAGGTAAATTATATTTTTGTAAGAATTTTATACCCAATTTTGAAAAAACAAAACAAAACAAACCTGATCTACTTAATGCCAAAATTAATCCTCTATTGTTAGAGGGAAATGTGTGCATGCATATTATTTCATTTCATTAAACAATCATTTATTGAACTACAATGCCTGAGGGGCTCAGTGTGCTATTTAATGAGGGACACTGAGGTAGTGAGAATACTATTTGGGTTTTTTGTTTGTTTTAAAAATATATATTTTATTGATTTTTTTTACAGAGAGGAAGAAAGAGGGATAGAGAGCTAGAAACATCAATGAGAGAGAAACATCAACCAGCTGCCTCTTGCACACCCCCCACCGGGGATATGCCTGCAACCAAGGTACTTGCCTTTGACCGGAATCGAACCTGGGACTATCCAGTCCACAGGCCAACACTCTATCCACTGAGCCAAACCAGTTTTGGCATGAGAATACTATTTGTAAAGGCAAAATAAAATGACAAAAATGGTAATAAAATGAAGACAACTTTGACACATTTACAGAAGAATCAAGAGAATTACAAGTCTTTTCAGGTTTGAATCTAGGGAGAGTGAAAGAATGGTGGTGTAAAATTAAAAAAATAAAAGTTGAGAAGAAAAGGTGATTGGACAAAATGAAAATGAATTGTTTTAGATGCGCTGAGTTTGAGGACATGCAAAAGAAAGACCCAGAAATTATCTGGAAATAAAAGACTGAAAAGTTAGCATCTAAAATACAGACTTAATAGTTTAATAGAGAGACAATAGATGAAGTTATTGAATGAGATAACCAAGGGACAGAGTATAGAGAAAGCAAAAACACAAAAGATAAGACCCTCAGAAATGTCACATTTAAAGAGCAAAAAAAGAAAGAGAACGAAGTTAGGGTTAGTCAGGAAGAGGGAGGTGAATGAAGAAATGCAGTATAACACAGGCCAAGGGAAAAGCCAGTGGAGAATGGATTAAAATTTCCAGTGCTTCAAACATGCAGAAGAGAATGATGTTTAAGAAAAAGCTATTGCTTTATTGGTTGCAGGGGAGATAGGGTTAATAGCATTAGTAAAATTAATAAAAATAATTTCAGATCAGTGGAACATGAAGCACGTTATTAATGCATTACTGAGTGAGCCAGGGAGAAGTAAAAAGAGGCACTAATTACAAATCCTCCTTCTGAGTTTTGCAGTTTAATTTACATCTGAAAAAGGAAATGTCCTTTTACAACTTTTTCACGTATTATCTGTTACTAATATACTTAATATTCTTTAAATTTTCTTTTCATGATTTATGTAGTCAAAATGATTTTAATTAAGAAATAATCACTTTAATTTAAACATAATGTTTATTTCCTAGATATACACTGAAACAATCTTTTAAAATGATATAAAAGGCCTTTACAACTTGGCTCTTGCCTTTCTTTCAAATATGTCTATAATTTTCAAACTCAAACTATGCTCCAGTTACACTGAACTCGCCTCACTTCTCTGCTTTTGCACATGCTATTTCCTCTCTGTGAAAAGATGTTTTCCTTACTTAATCTAAAAGGAACACTCAATTGAAAAGATCAACTATTTTTAAGTCTTGCCTGACACATTCTTTCCTGTGTTTTCCTAACAAGTTTAAGGTCTACAAGCACTCGACCTGTTATAATTATATGCACTGAAACTAGCTGTTTAGATATTTGCCTCTCTTGGCTTGAGTTACAGGAGGGCCAGGACTATAACCCTGCACTATGAAAATGTAGGATATACTGGGCACTACATAAATGTTTGTTGAATGAAAGAAAAAAAAATACCAGGAAATCTTTTAAAAAGCAATTGATTTCTTCCCCTTAAAAAAGGTTAGGAACATCCACTCTTAAGCATCTAAGATTCTATCACATTTTTCTTTAAGGGAGATTCTGTTATTAAAAAAAACCAAAAACCACTTAACAAAGTTAAAAACTTACCTTTATGTTTTCGTAAAAAATCAATACTCTTCTGCAGAACGGTCGATTTGTCCATCTTTCTAGCATTACCAGGAAGCATAGATCCCAATTCTTTAATGAGAACATTAAATTGATCTCTACGTTTCTTTTCAGATTTGTTTCTAGATACTCTGATGAAACAAAAAAATTAAAGAAGTAGTTTTCAAACAATACATTTATTTACACAAGTAATTTAATATAATGCTCAATTTGGACACAATTACACCCATGTTCTTCTGTTAATGTAGATGATAATAAATATTTATCTCCTAGTTTACCAACAATATACAGTTATTATGAGCAATAATATTTCTTCCTGTTTATCAATAAAAAAACTTTCATACCCGATCAGCATGGCTCAGTGGTTGAGCATCCACCTATGAACCAGGTCCTGGGTTCAATTCCGGGTTGGGCATATGCCTGGGTTTTGGACTCGATCCCCAGTAGGGGGCGTGCAGGAGGCAGCCAATCAATTATTCTCTCTCATCATTAATAATTCTATCTCTCTTTCTTTCTCCCTTCCTCTCTGAAATCAATAAAGATATATTTTTTTTAAAAAAAAACTTTTACATATTAAGCTTTTGGCATACATGTTTTTATGAAAATGCTAATTAAGACCAATGGCATTAAAATCTCAGGTTTTATTTACTCTAATATGTATCAAAAATCTATAGTTTCCTTATTACATTATTATGAAAATACATATGATCTATTAATACAAATTATTAAAAATTATTTTTTAAATTTATTAAATAATTTACTGGGGTGACATTGGTTAATAGGATCACATAGGTTTCAAGTGTACAGTTCTATGATACAAGATCTGTATCTTGCTTTCTGTGCCCACCCCAAACCATCTTATCCATCACCTGTAAGCTTTAAATTACAAACAAATCTAAAAATGAAAATCTTCCTACCTTGAGGCTACAACTAGTTCAGTGTGGCTAATGTGACCAATGTATAAGTCCAGTTATGCTAGAGTTAGGGGTAAGGTGGGAGTATTAAGTTCTGGGGGGGAAAGTAGTTTTATGCTACATAAAAAGATTTTCATTTAATCCTGAGAGCCATGGGAAGGCATTGAAAGATATTAAGCAAATAAATGGCATGAATGGTATTGCCTGTTAATAAGACTACTCTGGCATCAGACTGAAGAAAGGATTAATGCTTGGTGAAAGAAATTCACACTAAGCAAATTCAACTAAAAACTTACTATACACCAAACAAGACTGAAAGCCAGATTACCATTTAGGAGGCAACTGCAATATCCTAAAACCTATGAACCATAGCAGGGGCACTGTTAACAGAGCGGTGTGGTTTTGAGGGTTAAGAGGCAGAATTACCAATTCTTGGTAAATCAGATTTGGTTTAGAGTGGAGAAGCAAAATGGGAAATCTAAGAGGATTCCCAACTTACTGATAATGCTGTTTATCAATGTGAAATATAACATGTAATACTGGTGGTGGTGAACAGATGGCTTGGGGAGAATTTAGATATGGTAAAATGGTCTATTTGACATTTTAAAAGAAATAGACAAGATATATGAATCTAGTTCTATTTCTCTAGAAAAAAGAAATAAGCATTAGAGAATTAGTATATATGGAATATCTAAACACATGGGTAGGAGGTAAAAATAGCAACCAATATTTGTTACATACTTATATGCCAGGTGCTAGTAAATATATATGAAATCTCATTTAATTCCTACGAGGTAGACTATTATTTTCTTTTTTACAAGTGTGAAAACTCGGGTACATAGAAAAACATAACCAGAATCATATAGCTACCATAAAGTACAAATTCGAATTAGGCATTTTGATTTCAGGGCAAGAAAATATACAGAAAGCAAATATCTTTGCCAACTCTACCACTGGATCACACCCATTAAAGCAAACTTTACTTCCATATTACATTCAAGTTGGAAATAATTAGTTCTTGAAATGACCTCACTGATAACAGATCACAGGTGTTCCATTTGGGGGTAAGTATAAAACTCCCTGCTCATCATTGTTTTCACTTAAGAGTTCAATGTGATCCTATTTATTTCTGATAGCATTATTACACGATTCCTTCTGTTTCTCAGAGGTTTCCATAGCAACAATATTGTTGGTTTACAAAAAACATGATTAAATTTTCAGAGTCTTTGCAAATAGAATACCCTTAGCTCACCTTATCCATCTATAAACTTGGCCCTTGGTCCAGGTCAAATCCTTAAAGTTTGCCTCTTACTTCAGGCAAAACTGATTATTCCCAGCTTAGAGACCTTATCTCTATCCTGGTGATTCTATCGCATAATAACTTTTCTCCACTAGATTGAGGTTAAGGGGTAAGGACTGTCCTAGATTCTTTCAGCATCAAATACAAGACTTTTTATTTCCTTGAATAAAGTTACAGCTTTCCTCAAAAATTTCTTAGATCTATTTTAATCATTCAATAAAATATTTAGCAATTTATTTGGTTATGAATATTTTTCTCATCCCAGTACCTTTTATTTTGCTAAATAAAGACATTTGGGGAACTATTACATGTTTATATTTTGTATCTGTGTATAATGCTACAACACTTCTACTCTTGTCTATGCACTCACTGCTCACTCTCAATGACTATCAACTTGGCTGTACTGCTACCTGGACTCTCCCTTCTAAGACTACTAGAGGCCCGGTGCATAAAAATTGTGCATGGGAGAAGAGAGTGTCCCTCAGCACGGCCTGCACCCACTCCAATCTGGGGCCCCTTAGGGGATGTCTAACTACCAGCAGTCAAACATCCCTCTCACAATCCAGGACCTCTAACTCCTAACCACTTACCTGCCTGCCCGCCTAATGTCCCCAACTTCCCGCCCCTGCAGGCTGGTCATCCCCAACTGCCTTCCCCTCCCCTGCCTGGTCTCCCCCAATTGCCCTCTCCTACCAGCCTGGCCGCCCCCAACACCACTCCCCTGCAGGCCAGTTCACTCCCAACTGCCCTCCCCTGCCAGCCTGGTTGCCCCCAACTGCCCTCCTCTACTGGCCTGATCACCCTTAACTGCCTCTGCTTCAGCCCCCACCACCATGGCTTTGTCTGGAAGGAAGTCGGACATCCAGAAGATAGCAGGTCAATGTGGTCTAATTACCATATTTCCCTTTTATTAGTATAGATAATTAAGACCCCTATTTAAGGTCCGACAGTCTGTTCTATGCTTCCTTGTCTTCGGGTCTGTTCTTGTTCATCAGTCTATGTTGTTCATCATTTCCCCTAGATGAGTAAGATCATGTGCTACTAGAAGTACATGTATAAGAACCAAAAATGAAAACAAGCAATAATGGTTATGCTGAGAGGCAAATGAATCAGTCTGTAGTGAGTTTCTTTCTGGGCCAATAGTTCTTTTGAATCCCAATTTCAATGTCAAACAGTTCCTTATGTGTACATGTCAGCAATGATATTTCAGTTCTGGATAGTGGACAAATGGTGGTAATGCAGGTCTGACCCTCTCTGGTTTGGTCCTGGGCAACCTGCAGTGACGCACAGCTGCTGACTGCGAGTATGGCAAGGCATCGTCAGTCTTCCAGCTTTGGATTGTTTCTCAGAGGGAAGGTAGGGGAGGGTGGGGATAAGGGAGAGAGAGCAACTAAAGGACTGTGTGCATGCATATGAGCCTAACCAGTGGTCACCCCCAACAGGGGGGATGAGGGCATGCGTGGGGAGGGGTATGTGATGGGGGAATGAGGGGATGAGGACAAATATGTGATGCCTTAATCAATAAAGAAATTAAAAAAAAAAGACCCCTATTTAAGGTCAAAGCCCTGACTGTAACCACCATGGCTCTAGATCCCATTCCCTCATACTTGATGATATCTCTCCAACAATTCTTCCCTCCCTCTCTCCATCATCTACTTTCCCTTCTACCAGAGACTGGAAGCATGTCACAGGACACCTTTCAATGTCCGAAGCTGGAATAATTTGAGTAACAAAACAAAATAGCACTAAAGTAGAACCTAAAGTATAAAAAAAAAAAATGAGTCCAAATAGATATATATAAATAGGAAAGAAAAAAAGTTTTCAGTGATGATGTAGAGATACTAGGTATCCATAATATAAGTTGATGAGAAGAGCACATTTAGAAGATAAATTTATTTACCTTATAAACTGGATTCTGATATTCTAAGCTCTTTGCCTAATGAATATTAAATTCTTAAGGCAGATAGGTTTTGAAAATCACTGGTTTACTGTTTTTACTTTTACATTTATTGTTTATTTACTATTGTACATTTTAAGTTGAACTACCTTTTTGCTTTATCCTTGTCATCTTCTTCCACCAACCCATCAAAAATACTACTATCATCTCTAAAAGAAAAAAGAAAGTGGATAGAAAAAATAAGAACACAGTCATTAAACAACAGCAACACTAAAATGAATGTGAATCAAATCAGTTATAAGTTAAAGGACTGCACAAATTTAAACTCCATAACTACTAACCTGTTTCCTAATAAATATTAGAAAATTAAAATATAGCCATTTTATTTCATTTTTAAAACTTTATTACAAATGTGAATTTTAAAACTACACACTTAACTGTACTGCTATACACAATATACTACCCCAGAATTTAATTTAACAGGAATTAAAATATTTTGTAACCAATGAAAACTTATAGAAACTTAATGTATTTGCCATTATAAAAAAGGATTCACTTGGAACTATTTTTAATTATAATAGCATAGTTACAAAACATATTTTCTGAGATATTTACTTTATAAATCATAAATAACTCACAATATTTAGCATAACTTAAACAACTGCTTTAAGATATCTAGCACAATATCCAGCATCATGGCATAAGATCTAGCATAAATTTTCACTTTTTACTGATTCATTTGACAAATATTTATTAACGTTCATAAGCCAGGCTCTCTTCTGAATATGGTTACAGAACAGTTAACCAGATGTATAGGTCACTGCTCTCTTACAGCCTATTTTCTAGAAGAAAGAAAAAAAAAATCAACACAAAAAATGTACGGCAAGTTTTCTGTTTGTTTTTTAAAAATGAATGATGTTTTAGTAACTTCATGGTTACTTTAGCCTGAAGGATTTAGGAAGGATTTGTTGAGATCTAAGTAAGAAGAAAGAGTTGGTTATGGGAAGATCTAGGTGAAGAATATTTTAACATGAAATCAAGAATATTGGTGCATAACCCCTTACCTAAGGAGCAATATTAAACAGTTTCAGGTGATTTATGAACTTTTACAACAATTCATTATTCACCCCTTTAGCCAGACCTTACTGTGGCCTTTGAAGGTCTGTAAAGTGTCTGTCAGATGCACTATTGAAATCATCTGCAAATTTTGCATCATAGAAGTCCATATATGGACTTTTGGGGTTCCATGCATGCAGTGAAATTTCTGAAAAATTCTATATACATATGCATTTTATTGAAAGGAGAATCTGTAACTTTCATCATGTTCAGACAGATAATGAACTAATATTAAGAACCCTGCTTTAAGTCTGCACACTCAGATTTCATCCCTAGATGTGATATTATCTAGAACAGAAATTGTCAATCATTCAGAAGTAAAATCCCCAAATCACATTTAATCTCTCACAAGCAGGGAAGAAGCATCCTTTCTGGGGAAACAACAAACAGATCCCACCTGAAAGTACGGCATAGCCCAAATCTATAGCAATGATGTATACAGCCCTCTCTAAGGAAACTTCTTGCTCTTAGGTCTAAGTTTGGGAGAATATGCATCCTCACTGTTTATCTCATAGAAAAGGGAAGGGAAAAGGGCTGTCCCCAAATGTCAAAAGTCACATACTAAGCCTCACACAGTACACTATAATAAAAGCACAGGAACTTTAGTGTCAGACAGACCAACACAGGTCATTATTCCTGCTCATCACTTACTATGTGACTTTAAACACATTATTTAATCTCTCTAACCTACAGTTTCCTCACCGGTAAAATCTCATGAAATAATTGTGAATTTAATAAAATATAAAAAGTATTCTGCACATTAGCTAGCTTGTCAAAGAGAAGTAGTTTTAAAAAGGTTAATGTACTTCATCTAATTTAAGTACCATTCACTATTTATCACTATTTTATGTGCCACTAAGAAAAAAAATGCTACCAATTAAACTATAAGTCAATTGTAAGATGAATTCCAATATCAAAAAGATATTAAAATGTTAAAAAATATATATTAAAATCAAAGAAACAAGGAAGTTTATCCTTTTCCCAAGAATAAGATATGAAGATTATAATTTCAACTAATGCAATCCTAATTATAGTTATCTTTTACCAATCACAAATGCTAAAATGCTTAATGGAATGGAGTTAGCACCAATACAAGTTAGCAGCAAAAAACATACAAGAGTTATCTTTATAGAGAGAGATGATTCCAGAAGATACCATGGAAGCATTTGCAATTGTCACAATTTCTTTCAGAGCAGCTCAACCAAATACTCAGATACTTAAAACTATAGCTCAAAGACATAAACCATACACACCTGACTTTGGCTCTTACTATTGCAGTATGTTCTCATTCAAAAATTAAATGTAACAATAATTATGTTTAAGCAAAAAATTTGTATCAGGTTTGAAATAGACCATTACTCTAATAGTGAGTTTTAAAATAGCTTTATATAATTCAAAATAAAAGTCTCTAACAACATACCTGTCAATAATCGAGCTCATTTTACTACAGCTTACGGTAAACAACATAACATATCACGTTTTCGTCTTGTGGTAGACATTTGTACTTTTCCTTGGGTGAAAAAACACACACAATCATCAGTTTTCTAAAAATCTTATTCTATAAACATAGTAATATTGAAAAACATTATATGTTATTATAGAGACTTCCAAATATTTTTGTTTATACTAAAGGCTAGAACATTTTAAAGCAAATAACTTTAGCTGGAGCACATTTCAGGCTTTTTTTCCTTCTAAAAAAAAAGGTCTACAGGAAAAAAAAATGAGGTTCACAATTCATTTTTTTTCTACTATAAAATAATCAAAATTTAAGAGTTATAATTAATACTCAGTATGTATTTTAGACTACTTACTACAAATAGGCTGAAATAACACCATCTAATCAACAATAAACATTTAATGCAAGCTTATTTTTGGTTACACATTATGGTAAGCTTTGGGAATACAAGGATGAAACACAGAGTCCCTATAGGCAAAAATTTGGAATTGAACAGGAAGTTATATACCTAAATAATTATAATAAAAGGAATAATGATGGTACAGAGGAAGGAGTGAGAAGAAATACTTTTCACAATAAGTTTGCCAAGAGGTCTACATTGTTGTTACTGAAAATATGGTCCTGAAACCATCAGCATCAGCTATACCTGTGAGTTTGTTACAAGACAGAATCTTGGGCCCACCCAAGTCCTTCTAAATCAGAATGATATTTTAACAGAGTCCCCATGATATTTCTATCATCATTTAAGTTTGAGAGATAACAGACTAGAGGGTAGTAAGAGGTAATAACTGAAATGACTTAAAGCCATAGGAATAGCAATTTGCAAAGGGATAGGTAGCATCGTATTTGAGGCACTTAAAATGGTTAGTATTTTATTTAAAGAAAAATCTAGCCTTGTTACAACTTACAGTTTCAATCACTACATATAAAGGGAGAACAGGACTGGTAGTGGTGAGAGCAAGTAGAGAACAGCCTTATTATAAAGTCTTACACCCATATTGAAGAAATTAAAATTCACTGCTTTAAAACAGAATCACAAGACTAAATTTGTCTCTCTACATTCTATACATTTTTTCTAAAGTGTAAGGAAGGCTTAATCCATATAAGATACTTGGTCCTATAGTTATAAGTTAATGATAAAAAATCACCTTAATACTAATAATAAGTATACTAACAGTTTTGAGGCATGAAAAAATTCTACTTTAACTATATTTTTATTTAAAATTTAGGAAGTAGTGTAAATTAATCTGTAACTCAAACTAAACCAGAGAAGATTAAAGGTATTCTAAGAACATGGATTCTAAAATATTTTGTCATTTTCAAATGTTCACTCATGAGAGAAGAGAATAACCCTTGATAAATGATGCTACATTGCCAGTGTGGTTACAGCTGCAGAAATGAGACTGAAGGGCTAAGACTTCTTTAATAAAAAATAAAAGTGATCCCCCGTAAAACTAAAAAATACTAGCACCAGAAAAACACACACAACTGATTTTAAATGTTTAGATGGACATCAACAGATGGAACACAGGAATTACAGAATGTTAGAGAGTTAGGAGAGACTTTAAAGATCACTTAAGTACAACCCTCTTGTACAAAAGACATATTTATCATCATGGTAATAAAAGAGAATGGTTCTATCACTAGAACAAAAAGAACCATACCAAAGTAAGAGTCAATTTAGGTGAATTAAAAAGGAATAGTTTCAGTTTAAAGTTAAAAAACCAGATCTGAGGAGCCAAAGGAGCTAGGGCCACACGTGAGGTCTTATTACAATAATGGCAGCAATTTGGGAGAGCAACAGGTCATCCTCAAGAATCTACTCTGTACCCCCTACCCCCAATAAACCAACTGCTTATATTGGGTAGAAAGACAAGGATTACATGGGGAAGAAGGAAGAAGGAATAAGGATGGGTATGCAAAAGGAATAAAAACGAGTAAAATGGTAAAAAAAAAAAAAACCCAGATCTGAGCCTTATGTGGCACTGAATATATGTTAGTTTAATTATCAAAAGGTAAGATAGGACAAACTAGAAAATAAAAAAAGGACTCTAAGAATTAGGGTTTACATTAGGAAGGGCCATGCTGACTATAAGAAGAAAGAATACGAAATGGTTTAGAAGATACAAACCAAAGCTACATTAGTTTACTATTGTTAACAATATTCTTTCAAATATTACTTGCTGTCTAGCTAATTGAACAGCATAAAGACTGAATGTCTAACACTGTAGTGAAGATCTTTCCATCCAATTGACAGACATGCTGTATTTAACGGAAAAGTTGGGGGGGCAAATGAAATAGGCTTAAGCACTTTGGAGCAATGTTAGAAGATTCCTCTTGACTTCTTTAAATGGTGTCAAACAAATTTTAAGAAAACAAAGTAGTAATAGGGGAACAGAGCAGAAATGGGGGAAACTGACACATCCCAGGGCTAAATCCTTCTCAATCAATGTACACTTCCTAGATAATTTCATCCAGACATATGATTCTAAGTATCTCTTTATCCTAATAATTCCCAAATCCACAGTCCTAGTCCAGATTCTCAACTTAAGAGTCATATATTCAACTACCTTTTTTATATTACTACAGATTGTACAGATGGCTAAAATATCATACAGCAAAACAGAACACAACTTTCTTCTGCAAATCTACCCCTATCTCATTTTCTTCTCCAAACTAAACTCCACATGTTCTTTTCCCCCTTGCTATACTGTAGCCACATTTGCTCCTTCTGTTCCTCAGATATTCCATGCTCTCTTTTTTTCTTTCTTTATTGATTAAGGTATTACATATGTGTCCTTATCCACCCCCACTCCCCACTCCCCATGTGTCTGTGTTCATTGGTTAGGCTTATATGCATGCATACAAGTCCCTTGGTTGATCTCTTCCCCTTACTCCCACCCCTCCCTACTTTACCTCTGAGGTTTGAACATCTGATCAATGATTTTCTGTCTCTGGATCTGTTTTTGTTCATCAGTTTGTGTTGTTCATTATATTCCACAAATGAGTGAGATCGTGTGATATTTATCTTTCTCTGACTGACTGATTTCACTTTGCATAATGCTCTCCAATTCCATCGATGCTGCTGCAAATGGTAGGAGTTCCTTCCTTTTTACAGCAGAATATTCCATTTTGTAGATGTACTACAGTTTTCTAATCCACTCATCTGCTGATGGGCACTTAAGCTGTTTCCAAATATTAGCTATTGTAAATTGTGCTGCTATGAACACAGGGGTGCACATATCCTTTCTGATTGGTGTTCCTAGTTTCTTGGGATATATTCCTAGAAGTGGGATCACTGGGTCAAATGGGAGTTTCATTTTTAGGTTTTTGAGGAAACTCCATACTGTTCTCCACAGTGGCTGTACCAGTCTGCATTCCCACCAGCAGTGCACAAGGGTTCCTTTTTCTCCGCATCCTGGCCAGCACTTGTTGTTTGTTGATTTGTTGATGATAGCCATTCTGACAGGTGTGAAATGGTACCTCAATGTCACTTTGATTTGCATCTCTTGGATAATTAGTAAATTTGAGTATGTTTTCATGTGCCTCTTGGCCTTCCTTATGTCTTCTTTGAAAAGTATCTATTTAGGTCTGTTGCCCATTTTTTGATTGGGTTGTTTTTCTTCCTTTTGTTAAGTTGTATGAATTCCCTGTAAATGTTGGAGATTAAACCCTTAATATTGGGTTGGAGATAACATTGGCAAATATGTTCTCTTATGCAGTGAGCTTTCTTGTTGTTTTGTTGATGGTTTCTTTTGCTGTGCACAAGCTTTTTATTTTGATGTAGTCCCTTTTGTTTATTTTTTCTTTAGTTCCCATTGCCCTAGGAGTTGAATCAGAGTGAAGATATTGCTTTGGCATATGTCTGAGATTTTGCTGCCTATGATTCCTCTAAGATTTTTATGATTTCCCATCTTACATTTGTCCTCTATTCATTTTGTTTATTTTTGTGTATGGTGTAAGTTGGTGGTCTAGTTTCATTTTTTTTTTGCATGTATCTATCCAATTTTCCTAGCACCATTTATTGAAGAGACTGTCTTGACTCCATTGTATGCTCTTGCTTCCTTTGTCAAATATTAATTGAGCGTAGTAGTTTGGGTTCTCTATTCTATTCCATTGATCTATATGTCTATTCTTGTGCCAGTACCAGGCAGTTTTGAGTGGCTTTATAATATAGTTTAATGGTATTGAGATCCCTCCTACTTTGTTCCTTCTCAGGATTGCTGCAGCTATTCGGAGTCTTTTTTTATTCCCAATTATCATTTTTGTTTCACTGCCTCCTATAACTGCCCAAGGAAGGGGATTGCTCTCAAATCTTCACGTTTGGCACAGTCTTGCCATTCAAATCACAACTGAAACATTTTTCTTCATTGAGGGCTTCTCTAACTACATAATGAAAGCAGTCACTAGTGTCTATTATCCATTTTAATTCTCTGCACTGAACTACAATTTTTTAAAATTTATTATTTGTCCCCCTTCCTTTTAGAATGCAATCCTCCTGAGAGCAGGAATAATTTTTGCCTTGATCATCACAGTATACAAATGGTATCTGAACATAGCTGGCACAATAAATGTTATAGGATAAATTAATACAACAGGAAAAATTTTTAAGTAAAACTTAAATAATTCTTCAAATTATTGTGTCAAGATAGCTTATGGATTTTGAAATATACTTTACTGAAAAGTGTCATTCCAAAGTGCATTCTAAGATACAATCATATCATTACCTTTTGTATTTTGGGGGATCTTTTGAACTGATTCTTCAGAAAACTATAGGTTCAATGTATTCTTCAATATGGCTGACCATCAGTCTCAAAGTTCTGTTTAAACAAGAAAAAAGTAATTATTAGATTTATTCAACTTTTAAAATTTTGAAATATAATAAAATTTAGAACTTCGTTACAAAATGTACATAACAAATGCTAAACTCTATAAATTTGATCTAAAAAGAAATAATTTAAAAATAAAAATAAATTAAAACAATCACTTTAAATTTTAGTGCAGAAGTCAA